CCACGGGATTCTTGCCTCATGACGCAAGTGCCCCATTGTTTAAAAAGTTCTAATTCGATTTTGATCAAAAAAAAATACTGTACCGGAACGGTTCAAAAAAAGTTGAAATGATTTCAACTTTTTTTCGATCCGTTTCGATCCTTCGCGGATCAGTCATGTGACCATATTAGCATCCAAAGCGCTTGCGCAACACAAAATCTGATCCGATCCGCGGATCATTTTCCGGAGTGGGCTTTCGGCTTTAGATTTGTTAGAATACATTCTTCAAATTTTTTTTGTACACAATTTTTGACCTCAGATTCGGATTGACAGCAATGATCACAAAACTGTAGTACCAGAGTTCCTTAAAGTAGAACTGGCACGCGAAAATAAGTTTGGCTGAAACGGTAATTTGTGACTTAAGTAAATTCTGGGATTGAAAAATTTTTAAAATCACAGTTGCCGTTTTTGAAATACAGGCATTTTAAGTTGAGAAACAACAATTGTTCCGACAACTTGAGACTCGAGGCGAAAATCGTCACGAGAGGTCAATCATCTTTGACGTCACAAGTGACATGTTCTCAGTACGTATTGTTTTTCTCGATAGAAACCTTTAAGAAAATTCTGCGGACAAATGTTTATTTTGTGCATGTTAAAGGAGTTAATTTTGCAATTTTAACATATAATTGACTTTTTCAATGGTTTGGGACGAGCAAATATGTTTTTATACGCGCGCATGTCCCGCATTTTAATGCACGATCGTGAAAATTTTCCACCATGCCGCATCCTGAATTTTTGTATATTTATAGAAAAAAGTTCAAATTTTTTGCAAAATATCGCCTTCAGTGCCGGAAAATTCGTGAACGCTTTAAAATTTACTTAAAAAATTGTAAATATTTCCTTTCTTGCTTAATAGGCCTAGGCATAGGATACTTTAGTTTGATATGAAGCATAGAGAAATAAGAAATGAAAAGGTGCTTTTAAGTTTTAAAGGAGGTATTTCGGCAGGTGTACCCCAGGGTTCTATTCTAGGACCCTTATTCTTCCTTGTATATATAAATACGGAACAGAAAATCTGAAGTACAATGTTCAGCTTTTTGCTGATGACACATCAAAATTTACCGTCATTTTTGAGTTAATAAGTCAGTGGGCTCATGACTGGGGGATGTCGTTCAATTCTGCTCCACAAAAACAAGGTATTGAATTGAACTCATACTTTCACGAAAAAAGCGTATCTTTCAGGAATTCTCCTTAACAACATCTTCAATCACACTAGATTCAAATCTGTCTTTTTTTGCCCATATTAAAAATCAGTAAATCGAGAGAGGTTATTTGCCTGCTAATATATCTCTCCAAATAACTGCCCAAACACACTCTAAACGAGTTATATTTGCTCTATGTACGATCGTATCTGACTACGCGAATGTTATTTACCATGTTCCGGCGAAAGGAAGTGAGTTCACTGGTAGCATGATTTTACTGAGCTTAATGGAAAAACGAGGGTCCGCCCAGTACTCTGCTGCACGAGCAATGTTGGGAACATGGAGAGGAACATCAAGAGAAAAGCTGTACACAGAATCAGGCTGGGAAGATGCCGAAGATTGAGCAGAGGCCTTACTCTGTTCTACAAAATCGTCAATAATTTAATAATCCCAAGGATGCAATAATCCCACCATCTCAACAGTTACATTGCTCGAAATCAGGAGGTCGCTGGGTGAATTAAAGCCAGAGCAGAAAAATTTAAATCCAGTTTTATCCTCGCTTCTTATTTGAATGAAATGACCTTGATCCTATCTGAATGGAATGACCTTGATCCCGAGTCTAGACTTTCTGGGTCTATCGATGTTTTCAAGAACAAGCTTTTATCATTAACTAGACCCCCTGTAAAGTTTACCTCTGGCATTCATGACCCAACAGGTCTATCATATATCACTAAACTCAGAGTTGGTCTCAAGCAAAACAAATTTTAACAAATTCAAACACAACGTTCAGGATACCGTAAACCCAATGTGCCCTACAAACGATGGTATCGATGATTCAGAACACTTCTTGCTGCTCTGCCCTTCCCTTGCAGTACCATGTAGAGATCTCACTGGAGTTTTTGCTTTATTGCGAATAACTGGATAAAAAATCTTAAAAATATTTTAATGCAGATGTTATTGTAAAGTGATTTTCCCAACAAACTATATAAAAATACACCCCTGCTAACTCTAGAATTTATCCGAAATTCTGGTCGATTTGATTAGAAAATTTAACTTTCCTTAATAAACCACACAGATGCATCCATCATGCCAATTTAGGTAAATGTATTCTTCTTTTCTTTGTATTATTTTCTTTTCTTTTAGGCTGTGTATTTAACGTCCAAGGTTTGATTTTAGACCCCGTTCACACTGTGCTGGATAAATTTTATCCGCATCAAAATTAGTTCAGATAGGCGTCGCGTTTACACTAGACCCAAGCTATCCGCACGAATTTAAGAGCGGCTATCCGAACAAAATTAGTTCACCTAGGAAAGTGGATTAAATTAGTGCGGATAGCTATGTGGTACAGTGTAAACGCTTTTATTCGTATAAATTTTATCCACATCGTATCTTGCTCGAAAGCGATTGGCTAATTCATCCAATTTAGTTTTCACTGTCTCCCAATCAAGACCTTTTGCCATCTTGGCTGCCTTGTTGTCGATAAATACTCGTGTTAAAAGTGCAGTATCTTGCCAGTCCACGTAAAATTGGCATCCTTGTCAGCTTTCCCTGCTTTCGTTGCTAGTTCAGTGTCATTTTTTTCATGAACAAACTAGTAAAACAAACTAGGCCTAATTTGCATTGACAATATCTTTGGATTTGGTCTAAAAGAGAACCAGATGATTCTGAAGAGAGAATAAAATCTTTTTACGTTGGCGGGAATTTTGTTATTATTTTGTTGCCCAGAGAAGACTTCATTTTGGGCGTTCTGTGCATGATTTAAGGTATGTGACTGCAGTTATCCGGCACAGTGTAAACGGGAGGGCAAAGTGGACAGAATTTGTGCGGCACAGTGTAAACGCAAATCAATCCGAACAACTTTTATGCGGATACATTTTATCCGGCACAGTGTAAACGGGGTCTTAATCTCTGTGTCTAAATGGCCCCGGGATAGTCATAGCCTTCTGCCCCCAGGGGTATCGTCAAAGTAGTATCGTAAAATTGCATAGCAACTTTGTAAAGTAGCGTACATTGTAAATCTGTATTGTAACCCTCTAGTGGATATAAAGAATTATAGCATTTCTCTTCTTCGCACATATTTAAAACCATTAGCTGCTGATCAATTTTAACTAAAATATATTTTTACAATAAAGAAGCATCAAGGAATTAAGCCTTCGATCTTTTGCTATTGGTCGAAGGAAAATTTTAACATTTTTCAGACGGCCAAATGCCCTTTCGCTTTTTACAATTGAAATGGGTGGTTTGATAGCAAGTGCATATGCCCGATTCATAAGTTGAAACAATTTTCTTTTATCAAATACTTCTTCCGCGGCTTCTGCAATGTTTTCTGGTCTTTCAGCAGCGACATTACAGCAACAAATTCGAGTCTCTATTTCAGCAAAAAGACTCCCTGCACCAGGCATCCTGGTGATTAAATGATAGACAAGAGAGAGAGAAGAGACAGCTCTATGCAAAGTAATCTGGGAATTTGGTAATCAGTTTGCCAAGGACGTTTCTCGTCAGGCTTTTGCAAACAACTTGAAATGTTAAATAGGAAGCTGTTTCTGGGTTACCATCTATCCTTCTGTATCGCCTTATTGACCTGTGAAACCTTTCATACTCTTTTTCTAGATTCACCCCAATTCGTATGCTTAAACAGCTGCTTGGGTAAGGTTGTTAAGTTCGTCAACTGAAGAATGCAACCTTTGAAGTAAATTGACATTTCAATGATGTGCAGCTTTTTTCTTGAAGATGTGATGCGAAAGTTTGTCTGACACAGAATATTTCTCATGAACATAAATCATGCAATGAAATGAAAACGTTCCTTCTCATTAATGAGTCAGCATCTGCAGCTGGTCTCGGCCCAATTGAAGTTTCATTCACATATTGCAGCGATTCAATGATGATTTCTTATGAAACCCATACTGCCTGAATTGACTGGGCACGGGCAATCCACCTTTTTCTTGATGGATCTCCAAACTTAAGGTCATTTTCAACTGCCTTGGTCTTTTCTGATATCATTGAATATCTCTTTATATTGCTTGTAAAAAACAAGCAAACAGCCTCAAGCTGCTCGAATAAGGAAATAATCGAGGGGCATTCACTAAAAGCAAGCTTAATTACAATGGTTGCACTGTGTCTTCAGCATGGAATGTATGGCACATAATTTTTGTCGGAAAGCAAACCTCCACCCCCCCAGTCTTTGAAGTTTAATATTAATCAAGCCCCCACCATCGAATAAGCCCCCACTATCGAATACGTCCCATCCTGCTGAAATGCCCAACTTTGGCCTACCTTGGCATGATTTCGTCTGTGATAATTAGTAAACTAGACAAACCGTTTTCAGTGCTTTTGTTTTCAATATCGTCTTGTACAATTTTTGTTTCTTGAAGTTCAGTTGAAAATATAAAAATGCTTAAAAATGGCTCATTGTACAGCGACTTTGACGTAATTCTACAATACAATAAATCCAATTTAAGCCCCTTACTCAAGTCAGCCCACCCCCTTTAAAAACGTCTCAAATAAAAAAACACCAATTTTTAATAAAATTAAACTTTTTTTAAAGTGCAATAATTAAATACGGTCAAATTGGGACAATTTGTGTTTTTTGGTCTTTGACTCCTTATATCTAGAAAACGCCCCCCCCCCCTAAACGCCAAAGCAACATCTGGATTCGTAATCTACACAAAAATTTGAGTCAGAAAAAGTTAGTCTGGTTAATTGCCAGCTCATGTGATAATGCTCCCCCTCTCACCTCTGGTCTAAATAAGAGGATTTTGTTGGCATTAATTTGACAATAATTTACAAATAATGACAATAATCTGCAAAAGGAAAACTTACCCAGAGACCCGATAAATGCCACATTCATCCAAGCCACGACTCTCTATGTTCTGTATGCACCTGACCTGCAAAGATAAATTAATTGCAGAAAACTTTGAATAACAATGTGTTTCCCACTGTAAAGCCTCGTGTGGCCTTTGGTACTAAGTCTAAATTTATGCTGTCATCTTTAAAAAACACGAAACGCCTACCCATAAAAAAGTGTAGCTGTTAAACGATTTTTCTGACCATGTGAAACTGGGTATGCAGGATGCACTGCTCGATGTTTATATCAAACAGCATATGTCGAAAACGGGGAGTAGGGAAAACGGTTCAGAAAGAGATTAAAAGTCAAAAGTCAAAATGCCCAAATAAATTTCGATTCGGGCATAGGTCAATATTTGTTCCAGAACGCAGAGTGGGCCAACAAGTATAGTGACGACAGTGTTTTGGGCAAGCCTGATCGTGTTTTCGTTTAGGCGTTTTGGAATGTGTATATATGTAAGACAAAAGCACTTTTCATTCGACACCGCTCTAGGTATGAACACCAGATAATGGCCAAAAGTTAAATGAAAATTAAAATACAGCCGCTAGATTGAAAGCTACGCGAGAGAAAGAAAATAGACCGTTTCCTTGTGTTTGTTCACATAAGACCACTTCTCGTGGTATGTTGATGTTTTCGCTTTTTCTCTCTTCTTTGAATCTTGCATTAGTGCGAAATGCAAAAGAAGACAGGACGTATATGGTAGACGTAATTTGGCAAAGCACCGTTATTTAAAAGATCGAATTTGTTACCATACCTTAAACTAAGGGGCTCAAGTTAATATCTACAGGCAGTTTTTTCTGGATGTAGCATTATAAATAGTTTTGAAGATCCAAACATATCATCAACAACGCTCTTCAAATGGAAGTTTTATTTTTTCTTTATTGTCGAAACAGCGCTGTCTTTCTTAATCCAGACATGCCTTTTGGCTGATACGCTCTCTCAAAATATTTGAAATTCGAAAGCCAAAACAATCTCCTGAAATTCTCAGCTTAGCCAAAATGGTTGCAAGTTCGTCAAAGCTACCATAAAGGAGCATTTGTGGCTAACGGTAAAGAAAACTTACCACAAGAAAAGGAATTTTTGGCTCTGTTCTCGGAACATAAGACTCTATTGTCCCTTCCTACAAAAGAAGTTTACATGTAATCGAAACTATTGATAAAATTAGCCTGTAATAATTACGCAAAACTTCTAGTCGAAAGGAAGAAACGGCAGGCAGGGCGTACAATGTGATCAAATTTCGAAGTTGAATGCTTGAAAGGGAAGCAGCTTTGAAAAATATTTTGGAAAATCAGTTTTGAGGGGGGGGGGGGGGAGGTACAACCGCAAAAACAGTGGATTGGGCACAACTGGGTGCTATTAACACCAATTTTGTTACATACCACATTTTTAATTGCCCATGTCCTAAGTAACTATTTCTAGATATTATTGGCTCACCTTTTTCTTCATTGGAGTCTCCTTTGTAGGGATACAAGGCAGTGGCACCTTTGCCTTGCAATCCGGATGACAGGCCACTTTGCAGTCTAGATACAGAAAGAATACAAACATTTAGATCATTCAAGAAACAGGAATGGCGTAGTCCAATTTCTTGGGCGGACGGCTGTGAAACGGCTAAAGAGGAAGCGAAGAATGATTATACATATATATGCCTATCTTTACCTTTGCATTTGAGAACTGTCTTGGTAAAGCTGATTTTCTTGCCACACTGTAGGTAGGTAAAGAAAAAATACTTTTCAGTTAAATTGGCAACGAGCTAAAAACATTTTAAGCTAAATTCGACAATGCTTGAAAAAACCTCGAGTAATGCAGATGCAGGTTCTCGTATTGCCTGAGTTGTCTAGATAGTCATATCGTCCGTAATAGTACTTTTTCAACCGGGCAAAAACACTCTTTTTATAAAAACATTTTTATAAGAACACACGAGCCTCAAAATTGGTCAAAAGAAGAGAAAAAAATCAGACAATCTGAGGCTGAGCAACTGTAAAATGCAATTTTGAACAACCTTGTAAAACATCCTTGAAAATGTCATCTCAAAAACGAGGAGTTTTTGTCATGTAGGGAGGCCTTTTCAGTGAATTTTCAAAATTGTCGGCAATAAGGGATGTCTTACTCACTTTGTTGGCAAACGAGGCCTGAACACCTCCCTAGGGCGTATTAACAAGCTATTGCATTGCTTGCACCCTAGTAATTTGAGAACAAATTAAGAACAAACGAGCCTTAAATCTTCGGAAAATTTAGGAACAGCCAGCCTGAATTTCAATCTACTATTGTAGTTCTTATGAAAGAGAGTGTAAGACGGTTGTGCATAAAGATGACATTGGGTAAGAACAAAAGAGTCATTGACAGGCAGCTCTTACTGTTCACGGGTCTTTGTTTGTTACTAGACGTTGGTTACTAGACTTTAGTGCAAAATAGTCGATATTGAGGAGTTACATCAGTAAAATAAGAATGACAAATGAGTCAATAGCTTACTGGAAAGCATGTTTCTGGCTTGACAACTGTCTTTGAGACGAACGAATGAAACTGGGGAAGAAGAAAAAGTAGGTGAGAGTCAAAAGGATTTAATGTTTCAGACATCATGATACTGAAAAAGCATAAAAAGTTGCATACTTGCAGAATATGCTCAGGGTTATGTATTCACATATAGATGACGCATCGTTGCCTTGTTTGGACGTATAATAATATATTATCATGAAATTATTGGATCGCAAACGTATTATGACATGACTGGAGATTCACGTCTTCTGCCATATCTATGCTAAAAACTGTTAATTTGAAAGAACTGCGAGCGTTAAGTCCATCATGGAGATTTTCCAAATCAGCAAATCCGCTGAATAAATCGCAAGAAGAGCAAATCAAGTTTTGAAAGATTTTTATATTTCAAAGATAATGGGCTTTCAAAGCTGCAGTGAAATGGCTTTAGGGATGGCGCAACTGCAACGGCACTGGAAAACAGATTATCAGGAAACGACGTGAAAGAGAACTGAAACGACAAGTTACCTTTTCCCGTCGCGATCTTGGAGTGTTCAAGGTCGCATATTTAACCTTCTGCGGCATAGGAGAGCTGTCACTAGAAAAAAATGACACCCAATCAAGGATAGGCAGACGGACACATAGTTTGCACTGGTTTGGAAAATTATAATAGAATTTGTCAAAAGTGGGACGAAATGACTCACCTTATTTTTGGGTACAGTTTGGAATCGGTGACCTGCTTCGTAATTTGTCTGTAAAGAGTAACAATAGCAAGACTCAAAGCCAATCCACGGGAGATTTGGAGACAGCATTCTGGTATAGCTGGGGATTGCCAAGTATTGGGCAAAGCAGAGACTAGCAAACATGAGATACGATAGAAATAGCATAACTATAAACTCCATTGATTGCAAAGATTGTCATTCGCACCTACAAATTCAAATAATACACGATTGTTCATTGGCGGAAACCAAAACCTTATTTTGAAGACATTTTTATTTTAAGGAGCTAGTTGGAAGTATATTTCATTCGTGCTACTTAAAAAGCTCCTCGTTGCTTTTTCAATTTTCACCCAAATACATTCGATATCTGATTTTCAAGTAAAATATTAACACAAGAGTACACAAGTAGCACTCCAAAAGGCAACAGATTTCTTCGAAGAAAAGACAATAAAAGAGACAGACACGTGGGCAAGAATCGCGATCACGTCCTTACTCAAGGGAAAAGTTTTTTCTAAGATGCTAATTGGTAAACTGTAAATCATATTCCGAAACGACTTGGACCCAAAATTTTAGCTGGCTTCTAAAAAGAAAGGCATGCTTTGATCACTGCCTCTGCGATTCTTCTTTCAAGACGTCAGAGAAAAAATCACCTAGTGGTCTTGGTGGGAATCTGCTGGTCATCCAACAGCATAGTGTTGTTTTCCTTGTCTGACTCAGTCACTGTGCTCAAGTCACCTGAAAGAAAAAATCACAGTCAAGTCACCTGACAACAGTTGATTCATTCTTTGTACATGAAAGATAGAAATAATGCTTCTTTCGCAGAGAATTCCCTTCAGAATGCAAAAACAAGAATAAAAACAAAGTCCTCGAAAGACTGAAAATCCGCGAGATTAGTCGATAACTGACAAACACTGCAGACCGTACAAAGTCCGCTTGTACGGTCTGCAGTGTTTGTCAGTTATCGACTAGATCTCGCGGATTTTCAGTCTTTCAAGTTCTCTTACAAGACTATCCCCCTACTTTAGAAGTAAAAATTGTTAATAGGCCCCAACCTAACATACCAATTTTTCGATACATGATTTAGTCCTGATAAATCACATATTCAACGGTAAATTAAAATCTAGAAAGAATGAAGCACTTTCGCAATATTCTGTTGCTTAAATTGACTTTGTAAATGTTGTGTTGCCTAAAGTGAACTGGAATAAAGGCAGGCCCGTAGACAGCAAACTGGATGGGGGGGGCATGGATAGAAATATAGCTTTTTTATACCTGCCTTACGAAATACTATCAGATCAAGCTGCGCTTACAAGTTCTTCAAACACAATTTTCACAAATTACTAAGGGGAGCATTGCCCCCTGCCCCCAGTGTCTACAGGCCTGAATAAAGGTGGATTAGAATTTGATAAACAAGTTATTTGTATAGAGAATTTAAGATTATTTCAGATATGCTTCCTTTTCGAATTATTATTCCAAATTATTACAAGAACCAATAAGTTTATGTTCAGATTGGCTGTTCTAAATTTTTTCGAAAACTTGAGGCTTGATTGTTCGTAACTTGTTCTTAATAAGGGAGTAAGCAGTGCAAATGCTAGAGTGTGCTTAAGGGGGGGAGGGGTTGTTTTTAGGCCTTATTGGCAACAAAATGACTCAGTCATTCTTTATTTGCCAATAAGTTTGAAAACTCACTGGAAAATATCCTTAGATGTCGAAAAATACTCGTTTTTGAGATGAAGCGTTGTGTGAAATTGCTGTATGCTGGTGGCTCAAGTTTGGTACTACAGATACAGGATCAGTTTAGGCTTAAAACAACGATACATTGTTTAGGCTCCAATTCTAACTCCAATAAAGGACTGTACAACTGCGATCAGTCATAATGTAAATTCCAGTAAGGTTTCAACCAGGGGCGTCGTGGCGAATGAATTCTAGAGGGGGCCAGAAAGAAACATTTTCCGCTAAATTTCTTTGATTTATATGAAATAGAAGCATTTCATGTAAGTGTAAAGGGGGGTGGGGTAGAAAAACTCATAACTTTTGCCTTAGCTGGAAAGAAATTAAAAATGAACTTTTTATCTTGTTTCTGTTCTTCATACTTACAGTGAACGCCCCTGACATCCGTAGATTAGGACAAGGGTAAAATGAAGTTACTACCTGAGGCGGCACCATGGTTGCCGCCGAAGCGAAAAAATTTTATAATCTAATGCTTCAAATTCGTCGGAAATCGCATTATTTGACGCAAATTTTAATCATAAAATCTTATTCTTAAATTGAATATCCACTGGGGGAAATCGATGGTTTTCGTCGACCTCCACCTTGTTTTACCTCACGCAACATAACTGCATAAATGTTCAAATCTGGGACACAATTTTCAAAAATCTGGTGATAGGCACAAAATTGGTATTGTCTCGGTCTTCAATATCAAATAAAGATATAATTTATACCAATTTTGACCAACTTCCATAACCAAATTTGGCCCTCGAAGTTTCGAATTTTAACTGGCAAAATCCGAAAAGCAAATCACTCTATGGAAGAAATGGGTAAATCCTGAGAAATCGTTTTGTTTTGTGGAAATCTAGTATTTTCTTTACAAAAGTGAATTGCCTCTCGAATTTACGGTAAGTACTTTAGTCAAAGTAATTTATGTTGCTAAGAGTTTGAGAATTACCCACAGCTCAAGTTTGAGAATTTTCCGACAATGATTTTTCCGAAAATCAATCAAATTTTGAGAGCCGAGGGGGCCACGGCCTCCCTGCCCCAGCCACGACGCCCCTGGTTCCAACTTCGATCCGTTTTAATTTTATGTCTTTTCTAATCACATTCAATTCCAATCTAACGCATGCTCCAGCGTGTAGATTAAGTGACTACAACAACAACTATGGAGTGGTCGTCATACTATACAATTTCTTACAAACATTGTTTTCGTTTTTGACCAATTTTGTGGCTCGTGTCCTTATAAAATTGTTCTTATAAAGAGTTCAGACCAAACCTAAAAGAATTTAAAAAAATAATAAGCCCCACCAGGCTAATTACAGGATTTATGGTAATGCGAAACTGGAAAATATGGCTAGCCAATCTTTTGTAATCTTCAAACAAAGACCGCACTTTAGGGTATTTGCCGCGTCTATTCACAGCATGTTGCCTTTTGCTATGAAGTTGGGATCAGGTGTTTTTATTGTTTGATTATCCGTACCTAACAAAGCAGGGGGTCGCATCTACTAGCTCATTTCGTCACCTGAAAAACACAAGATATGACAAGTTTAAAGGTCAATAGAAAAAACTGTCACTTACTGTCACTGGCATGTCTTCGTAAATGCCCTTTCGTTGGCAACCTTCTGTTCTTTTGGGGTGGTGGGCGATTGAAGTCCCTGTCTAGCCTCTCAGTTCGCACCCCAGGGCTGATGGTTAGTCTCATGTTTGAGCTGACTGTTTCTACAACCTAAGACCAAACAAAGATACTTAAAAAGGCAGCGAGATGGTTACGTTTATTGGAGATGAAAACTTGATAAGCACAAAGATTCTTGATAATATTACAAAATTTTGTCAGAGTGGGGGGAGGGGGTAGCATACAATCTAATAGTTTATGGATATATGTAGGGAAGAAAAGGTTGAAAATGATAATAAAATTCCTCTATTCTTGCTCCCTGCCTATCACCACTGATTCCAAATACTCATGAAAACAAGGCATAAGGTATGCTGGTTGAAAGTATCAAATGAATATAATCTAATCATCAGCAATCAGTCATTTTATTGTAAAAGATAATTAAAGTGAATAGACGAACAACAACATTTAATCATTTATTCGTTGACTATGAAAGATGGACGAACCTCTTCAGTTACCCTGGTCTTCTTTATATTCACATCCTGATAAAAACGAACAAAAATTGGAATCATTAAACAACGTGATATCGTTTATGTGCAAATTAGCACAATAATTTTTCCAAAAAATGCCAAAGTAGAGTATTCCCTGTCAAGGTGAAATAATATGGAAGACCTTTTTTCAAGTCTTGATTGATCCAAAGCAAATTAATCGCAATCGAAAAACTTAAAAAGGCAATCGAAAAAATCGAGCATATGGCTATGAATGTGAAAGTAGGCGGAAAAGGGATACACACACTTTTTTAAGGATACTATCATTTTTCCAGTCTCGATGTTCTCAGCCTGTATACATTCTTAAAAAATTCTTATTTGGTTAAAATCTGAAATGGTTTCAGGAGAACATCGCCTTATTGAAGAAAAATCAAGCCTTTTAGAAAACAAGATATGTCAGTTCTGCGATTCTCTGTTATGAGCATCGCAAAACAGGCAGCTGCTGAAAAACGCGACACAAATACCGTAAAAGCTCTAGATTAAGTTCCCCCTCTCTATTAAGTCCTCCCTCTCTATTAAGTCCCCTCTTATCAAGCAAAAACTTTAAATAAGCCCTCTCTCTCTCTAATTTATCTTGGTGACGTTGATGATGATGATGGGGACCTTATGATCGATTAGTGAAACTTTCGAAGCTGTTAGCAAAGTTTTTTGAGAACATTTGTATGACATTTTCATAACAAAAAAATGGCCAAGGGCATTTTCAAAACATTTTTTGCTTCAAATTTCAAATAAGCCCCCTCTCTCTAATAAGCCCCCTCTCTCTAATAAGCTCCCTCTCTTGTAAGCCCCCTCTAGGACTGAGAAAAACAAATAAGCACCCCGGGGGATTAATAGAACTTTTACGGTATGCGAGCTGAAGCGGAGCAATATTCTTCAATACTCTTAAAAATTGGATGATTCTGAGTCTAAATATTCTTATAACCAATAACCAATATTCTAATAAAAAATTTGGCAGAATTTCAGAACTTGTTTAGTTTCGGTCATTGCTAATTGCAAAGCGCGAAACCTTTGCACAAGAAGCTAACTTCTCGAATTATCATCAAGATTATTAATTTCATTATCCTTATTTCCAACTGTACTTGAACACAGGAAAAAATTTAACATTTCCTTTGCAATTTCTGCAGGCAAAGGAAACAATGATGTGAAAAATATCGTTGAGAAAAATATCGTAACGGAAAATATGAACAAATTCATGTAGCATATGTTCAGAAAATTCTCAAAATTCACAACAATGGAAACTGCCTTAAGACAAAAAAAATGCCACAAAGTTGCAACCATGAAGGGGACTGGTCTATTTATATTTCATTCAAGCGTTTGGTCTATTTATGGCAAAAGCCTCCCAGCTTCTCAAAATTTGAATTCTATGTTGTTATCAATGGCTTCAGTGCCTCATAGTATTTGGCATTCGATTTTTCAAACCATTCGATTGGCGTGCTTTATTGCATTCGAATTCTACTGCTCTTACCAGGTCATCTGTTTCAGTTCCATCGCTAACGGGTGGAGCAGAGGGCTTCCCCTACGGAAAATGCAGTTATTATAGCGCGAGGAAATCTGAATATCGAGCATCCAATATCAAATTTCATTTAAGGAAGACTGTTTTCACAAAGTAGCGCTGTCGATACAGCATAAAATCATTTTTAAAAGGGCGTCTTTTTAACCGCACATATATTCCAATATTTTTTAACCATAGTTCACTTTTAAAGAGGTTTTGGCCCATGTAAACTTCTTATTAAATTGGCAACAAAGGGTTTTTGAAAATTTGGAAGCAATATTTGACAAATTTGTGTCAGACATGAGATAATGTGACCGCTGTTCAAACAAGTGACTCGCGAAAAAGGAAACGACTGTTCAAACAAGTGACTCGGAAGATTCGTTGCCCTGTCCCCCACCCCCATACCCGCACTCCACTCTAAACCCCCACACAAATCATCAATCACAGTCCATGCTTAGTTTACTCAGAATCGCCCTACAAACATATCAAGTTAGCTTTGGACAGATAAACAGTGGGAAGTAATGAAACGCACCCTTTTCGATCCGGTTTTCAAGGAACCATCAGTTGAATATCGGTCGTCCATCTATAGAAAATGAAGTGCGTTTTTTAATATAAATCCGTGAATCAAAGAAAGTCTGTCATGAAGCCCCGAAAATTGGACCCTAAAGATTGGGAATTCAATTTTATATATTAAGTAGTATTCTGATAATATTAATGGTAGAAAATTATCAAGAAACCAATTCTAGATTGGATGAAAACTCTGAAATTGCATTACCTTAAAAAATTCCTTGTCTAAGTTATGAAGAAACGAGTTTTTGTGGAGCTAGAATGATTGCCCAAACTATCTGCATTCATAGTAATTATAAGGTTTAAAAACAGGAAAGTACATCAAAAAACTTGCAGTGCACAAGCCAATGAAGAAAGTTACAACTTCTTTGCACAGTTCATACTGTTTAGCTCCAGTTGAGTCAAGTAGCCAAGATATCTTCTAAAACTTCCTTATTTGGAATAACCTTAAAGTTTGCAAAAAGGGTTGATAATATAACATGTTTATTGCAGGTTTCGTTAATTTTCAGTTAATATTAACATTTTTTAAATATTGTAATCAACATATAAAATGCAATATTTGATTCAATTCTTGCCTTAAATTCCCCATTTCCCTACCAATAATTACCCTTACTAATATTAACCCTAAAGCACTCAAAAATCGTCTAACCGCAGCTACTTTTCACCTAACAAGCAAGGGATTGATCAATCTGTGCTTTTTCATGATTTACAACTAACTATATTATCAATATTCAGTTATTGTCAAATTGCCCACATTTCATGAAAAAGAGCACCTTAATGCTTTGTTTAACAAGGAAAAAGCTTTCTTATAATAAAATAAATGAGAAAGAAATGTAAAATATGACAGAACATCAGCAAAATCATTCGTCTCTAGAATATTTGTCATCAATTATTCATCGCTAATTAGTATCCCACTTTTATCAATAAAAACTAATTTTCTAATTAATCTATCTGAAGTTCTTTGCAATTTTACATTTCTTAGCAGCATCAAATCCAAAGCAGCAGAAACACTGTGAAAAACAGCATGCAAAAAGCTTGACACATGGGGCTAGCATCTTTTTTAATGTTTCAATAAGTTAGGTGAACAAAAATAAATAGTATCTCTGTACAATTCAAAAGTCCTATATTTACTGAGCTACAAACGAATGATTTAACTGAAATATCTTTCATATATTACAAGTCTTGTTAGCTTTACTGACTGGTGTCAATATATTGAAGGAAATTGCATTTCATCCTACCAAGATATCATCACCAGATTTATCATATTCCGATTCTGACAGCATAGAGCCAATTGAATCTCTGGTAGTTGTGAAACTAAAACAGAAATGACAAAAGAAACATTTATAAAAGCAGCTGATTACGCCTATTAGTGGCACATTACAAAAACGCATTAAAATTGCAATTAATCTTATCTTATTTCAAGGAAAAGGTTTATATGAATAAAATTGTTACCATATTAAAAAACATACAAATTTGAATTTTTGGTATGTGCCAGGTAGAGACTGCAAGCACTATGTATCTTTTTAGAATTGGGTTACTACAGCAGGTTTATTTTTAAGGCATGTTTTCTTTAGGTAATAAATTTGCATTGATGCATAAAATAACCATGTATCAGTGGCAGCTTGCAGTGGTACTAGTGGTACCAGTCTAGTACCATTCAAATTTAAAAGCTCGAAATATTGCTGTATATATATATAAAATAAATTTTTAGTCTTTTGGATATCGTCAATAAGAGTATATGAATAAGCAAGATGATGATTCTCCGACAGAAATAAAATGATAATTTTGTATAGTCGCAAAACAACAACATTCTCACCAACAAGATTTGAATGGAACCAAAATTAAATCACGTAGTGTGATTTTGTTATAACATTAATACAAACTAGCATTCATTTGAAAACTGTCATTTTGATGTTCAAGTACTTAAAGGCTTGTTATTTCCGAGTTCGTTGTCACAGGAACATACACATATTTTATTAACCGAAACTAATAAATTCAACTACTATTGGAAATTTTAAGATTAAAAGATTTTGAAAGATGACAGTTTCATATCGGTCTTTAAAAACCTATATCTATCAGTGGGGGATCTTTTGTATTCTTAAATCAACATTATAGCCAGTTATAAGAAACCATAGCTGTTTTTTAATTACTTAAAGGATTCTCTTCCCTATTACATTTAAAAACGCTTCATTTGTTTTTCGCGTGACTTGTTAAGTAGTTAACCAGTTTACAGGAGATGACTTCCTGAGAGATTGAAAGGTGATTAATGTTATTTTGAAATCAAAACATAGGGGATCAAGTTCCTATCAATTTTTTAGTTTTACTTCAAGAGGTGTCGAGAAATGAAAGGAAGACCAAGCAGGCGGTTAACATGCAAACTGACATTGAGAGGAGCGATGAAAAGCTTGCCCGCCTCAAATGGCCAGGTCTACATTTTATAATCCTAGTTAAACCATTGGTCCTTTATGAACACCATGGTAATAGACTTCATTCATCCAGTACTGTAGGAGACTGTTCCAATGTCATTCAAAAATTGAGGTGACATAAAACTCTTTGTGCTTTATTACCCAACAATTGACATTTTGTTGGCAGTACTGGATTCCTCTTTATAGTGGTATAATGCTGCGTTGCTATCTAACCCTGCATACTTTTCATCTATATCCTTATGTGGAACAAACTGAGGTAATCAAAACTATGTTAGAAAACTTATTGTATGCCATTCAATTACAATTTGACCATATCAGATGAACAAAAACAAAAGACATTCCAAAGGCAACTCCCTGCACCACCATACCATAAGACGGTTTGGTCCATGCATAAATGTTTACTTTATCAGTACCATTTTATTTTGCATGCCAGCTGCCACCGTTATGCACAGTAAATCTGAGTTAAGAAAACTAACCTTTCACTCAATCCATAGCTACCTCTGTTGACAGGTGGGGGTGGGACATTTCCAAGAAGGGCAATAGTGTCCCTTTCTTTTGATGTTAAACTTCCACTATCTCTTTCACATAGCAGATCTTTTATCAACGACAACTGTCTTGCCTAAAAATTAGAAAAAGTATTTGTATTGTCCATTGCAAACAAATATTGAATACTTTTGGTGAAGATGTATTTAGGAAAATTGCATTTGTTAAAACATTAAAACTCAACCTTTCTCTCTTTATGCAGGTTATTGCCCTTTTGCTCATTATTACTATATCAGAATCATTTGTGCAAGCATTTATTTTGAATCTCAAATACCTTGTTTACAAATTGTGGTAAAATCCCACATCTAGAAACCAAGCTATCAGAAAACAATTGTTAAACCTGTACACTGATTGATAAGTTCCTGTGGGCCTTGAGGGTTGGGTGGGAAAGATAATCCTCCTTGTAAGTTGCAATAGAGGGCAGACTTCGTCTCTGTAAATATTTTTGGCTTCTGCATTTAACAAGTAATTTTTACCTGAAGGTTTTACAGCATTAAAAAAATTATACAATCTGCAAAGGAGCCTTGCTGCAATGAAACAAATCCTTCAAGAAAAAGTAACACTATAGTGACAAAACACAAGTTTTTGTTTCTATATATATTTTTGGAGTTGAAATAGCTTTCAAATGCTCCTTTCATAGCATTTGTGTATAAATATATATATCATTATGAATGTGTTTACAAACCAAGTGACATTCTATAAAGTTAATCACAACAGTTAATAACCCATCATAACTATAAATACCAAGTGGTCTTTTTCCTGCTCTATTCTTGTCCTCTTTTGCATTTCATTTTCTAACTGATTTCTGTCAAAACAAAAAACATTACATCAGAGAAGGCATTTCATAAAACACAAAAACAGAATTCAATGTTGAAATTTGACAATGATGGCAAACACCGATGAGGGAAATTATTCCTAATTGATATTGATGATTGAATTCTGAGCAATGTTGTAGTAAGCTACAATTTAATCTTTGATTTATTAACATTACTATATATAGATTACAAGGATTTCAATCCAATAATAATTATAATCTATTAAAACTAAATAACAGCAAAGTAAGTTTTGGGACATCATAAATGGAACTTTTTTTCAAGGAAAGATAACATCTCCTCTGAACTTCCATTTACAAAATAAGTTTAGAATGATATACAAACAAAAACAGATGAAAAACAAAAAAATATTGTATATCTATATATATATTTATGTACTCAAAAAATAACAAAACAAACAAGAAAGTATTGCTTTTATTGATTATAATAAAGCCAATACACAATAACCATGAAAATTTTACTAAAGCTTGATAAATAACAAATCTTGAAAATACTTTTTCATTTGAAATGCATTCAAAAAAGCAGATGTATTAACATACATATAAATAGTTGTATTTGCTCATTATAATTTTGCAACATACCTGGCATGCTTTAGATGCACATTAAGAGTATCTTTTTCTGCCTGGAATTGCAATGAATAAACTCAGTTTTAATATTTTAAATAAAAAAGATTGTTATATATAGAGGACCATAATTTTTAGCTTATCTAAAAAATTAACTAGGGTTGAAACAATAAACAATGTCTTTGGTACTTGCATATAACATTAATTGCTGTTTCTCTAGACTATATACCTTCATCTCAACTAGACAATGGACAATTGGAAAGAACTGCAGTCTGCTTTTGCCCTGTTAGAATCTTGCTAGAATTCAAGATTAGATAGTAAAAGCTAATAAAAGTTGCTTTATTCAAACACAGGATGGAATCAGGCATAGCTGTTGAGCTTTTCAAGGGGTGCAGTAAACAGCTCTCCTAGTAGTATTCAGGTGATTTCAAGGAGAGCAAATTTGTATTTTAGAACAATTTAGTAGAGCAATCTGTAGCTCTCCTCTAGTGTTTGAGGACAGCCTGGAGGGGAGCAAGAACTATGGCTCTAGGAGAGCCTAGTGGAATCCACCGACCTTAGGCTGGAAATATCCCAATTATGTACTGACCTAACAAACTTCCTTAGAGTACTGGCTTAAAGCAAAGAAAATATATTGCCTCGACATAAAGCAAATAAAATATATTGGGTTGCCAGCTAGCTTTCTGGACAGCACATGTCTCAAGGCCTGGCTACACGAAAGGATATTCAAGAAGAATTATGATATTATTTTATCATTCTTGCTTGTATTTTGATCAAGAATTTTTCAAAGAAAAATATTATCACCTCATTTTTTCATTGTTAGAATATTTTTGTCAAGAAAGAATAAATTCTCTCTGACCTATTTATACGGTGGAGGCCCTGCCATTTCCAATCTGGAAAATATTCATAAGCTTTGGAAACCTTCACAAGAAAGAAATAAGTTGTTGCTCTTAAATGGCACTTTGATTCGTTTTCTATTCGCCTTCCTCACGTTCACTGACCAAACGATTGCCATGTTTACCATGCTATGTGAAAAAGGAACATACAACAACATCTGGAACCTAATAAAAGCTACCCTAGCGAGTTGGGGCTACATTTTTTTGGCAATTCTTTCCTGCAAGAATATTGTAACAAGGTCTTGAGGACATTTGCTGGGGTCCATATCCACTCGTTGCTCAAATTGCATACCAAAGCACAGAAAAGAGTTTACATCCGTACACATCCGCAATTCTATTGTCTGAATATTCTTCAAGTCAGGAATAAAATCAAACTAGTTTGAATTTATTCACCTCGACAAGAATATTCAAACAATAGGACGATAATGCAAATAAATTATTCTTTGAAAAATTCTTCATCAGAATATAAGGAAGAGTATTCAAAGAATAAATTCTTGTGCATAAAATAGTATTATTCTTGTTGAATGTTCTTTTGTGTAACGAGGTCTATACAGAAAGCTGTTTTTGGAGAAAACTTCAAGGTGGTTTGAGGTGAGAGATTGAGTCAAGCCTCTTCCATGCACCTGCATGTCAGTTAAGTTTTCCAACCAGACTTGCAGCATATACTGAAATATATTTTGTCTAAATGCCTTTCACTTTATCCAAATGTGGTATGTTTACTTTTGTGAACCAGTTACTTTTAACTCCCTCTAAATGCTAATGAAGGACTTATCTGCAATGTGTGTAAAAGGACTTATCCATCAGCAGTTCTAAGAATTGAATGGTTGTATGGTTCTCCTTCCTATTACCAGTTCGCCTTGTGGGCCTTATTGGTTATATTACAAAGATTATTTTTCATTCACATCAAGTGTACAGAGCATTGCAGATATAGATGCTTGTACACAATGATTTTAGGTACTTTTTCTGCGTGCCAAGTTCCTTTTTTCAATCATATGGCATGGGATTAAAAACTTTTAGACAATAATGCTAATGCAAATTTGGTGTGCAATTTCAGATTTTGGAGTGTTACCTGCAATAACCTGCAGTCTGGATTCTCATCAAAATCCTGTTAAAAATTCACTTAATATACGATTTAAGATTGGAGTCAGATTCCAAAATTAATCGTTACCTGAAGCGAGAAAGAGCAAACATTTTGTTTAAATTTTCTAAAAAACAATTGAAACCCACTCTTAGTTTGGCCATGCTCTGCTTCATGGAGACATTTTCTTGCTCTGCACGGATCCATTTCTGTCTGCATTCTTCTTGGTGTTTAACAAACTTAAGAAATTCTGCAAGGTAAGGAAAACATCTGCTGAGTTCCAAACTAAGATCTAACATCGATAAGCAAAGAATGGCGGGATAATGTTTATACTTATACTTATATACAATTTTCGGTTGTTGTTAATAGATATCATTGGTTTTCGGTTTCAATTGATCTACACTTACACGATCACCAAATTCTCAGCGAAAATCACAGGCACAAGATGTTTCAACAATGACTAAGCTCTGGGTGGGTCTTTATGGAAAATTTATATGGGCTAGGCCCATATTCAATTTCTCAAGTATTTAGCTGCTCATTTAAATAAATTACGCACCTCCTTCGATCCCTTCAGTTAGGACACTTGAGCATCTTACAAGGTCATCGAAATTCCGAATGATCGACTGAGTGGAAGACATGTTGGAAATTATTATTTTTAATAACACGGCAGTTTTCCAGAGAACTCCACAGAACGAAGTTGCCAACGGTCGTTTTCGCGCGCTAACGTAATCTCCCAATCACATAATCGAATCGAACGCCCGCGGGATGCACGCGAATTCACGAGGAAGGATTCGTACAGACAGTTGCTTAGAAAAGTGCCGTACAAGTATAAAATACATCAAAATATAATGATGTAAATAAAAGCATTGGTCATTAAGAACCAATTGAATTATTCTCACTTTAAAATCGTACATTAATAACAATACTTGATCTCAATTTACATTCAGATAAACAAGAGGACAGAATATTACCAACAGAGCTGCCCCTCTCGCTAGAGCAAGTACACTGTTGAGGATGTCATTTCTCGGAATGTTTGGAACACAGTTCAATTATTAAATTTTCATTTTCTCTATACCCGTTCCAGCATATGGGGTAATGACTAAAGCGATATATAAATTCGGCTCTTTTTCAGTCATAATTTATTGTCTATACATATTGTAATTATGCAGTTTCAGTTATTCATTGGTTGGGAATACAGCACATGGTTTTTCCAACTGATTCAATACACAATTTAAATTACCTTTTTCAATTCCTTCACTCAGAACCGTCGAAGCATCCGTAAATAAGTTAAATGATGGCATCAACCCTTGGTGTGATTCGTCTGTTTTGCTAGGTTTTCTAAGCCTTTTCTCCGGGATTTTCTTCATTTCGACGACAAAAATTAGCTACTTGTGTTGTTTTCAAATATCCTTCCTCCAAGTAAAATGCAGAGAAATGCATGCCAGTTTCTCAGTCGAAGCCCCCATTGCCCTTCATACCGAAAAGGATCTTGGATCTCCGTTGGGACACTAGTCCCGATATTCACGCTTGAAGCTGCTAGATTCGTGACTCGATTGATTGCCAACAAAGGTCAGCATTGACTATATCGTTAGGATTCTTTTGTATCATATCCACAAGAGTTTTTAGCTAAATATTTCTAGGCATGTTATTCAGGATGTTTTATTGAATAAAGCCTGTCCTTGTTGTTTCCTTAAACAAAATTGATGGACTGAGTAGTCAGGGACACCAGGACACATTGTGGGGTGAGGGGGCTCTAGACAAATTAGCGAACCTTTATGGTAGTTTTCCTACAATTATCCTTGATGCCACAACATTAATATCAATATCATACTTCAGCAAAAAAAGTGAAGGGGCTACAGCCTCCAGCCTCCAAGCTCCAGCCTCCAAGCTCCAGCCCCCTGGCTCCGGTGTGCCTGGCGGTTATCCTATAAATTATCATCATTGAATGGTAAATGAAAATTTTTCACTTTAGCGTTGATTGCAAAATAGGCTGTACTCAGCTCGAGGCACTTAGATAAAAACATAAACTGAGAGGAGTTTGTGATTGAAAGAAGAAACAAATTAACTTTGAAATCAGGTTTGAAATACATTCGTTTTATACCTGATATGCATCATTGTGACAGTCAGAAGGAGAAATTGGTAGCAGTAAAATTAAGGGCGCCGGAGCCGCAGCAAAGTGCCCTTTTCAAGAAATTGTTTTCCGAGCAATATTAATTCATTTAAAAATTTTGAATGCTAGTGAAATCTAGGTTTTAAGCTTCTCTTGATACCTTCATGCAAGACAAAAGTCAATATTTTCCATTTTGATGAGAACTGTAAATCGATTTGCAAAGCGATTTGACCAACAAAAATATTTTCGTTGATAAGTTCTCTTTAACTTTCGTGATCATGCCGAACAAATTCGGTGTAGGAACAGTGTGCACGTATCCCCCTTTTTTCCAAAATTCAGTTTTCCTGCCCCTTTGCAGCTCACCTAGTGGCTCTGTTTGCCAACTTTATAACCAAAAAGTGCCATTGGATTGCTTAGATGCTATACGAAATGAGCAAAGGGGCGACCTTTAGAGGCGATAATCTGAAATGTTTCTTTTCGATCTGCTTTTAGAAAAACCAAGAAACAAGCCCACAACAGGGTTTACCGAAAGGTAATTGTGTAACTTTTTAAATGATTGCAAGAAGGTGACTGCAAAATAAATTCTGAAATGAATTTTTAGGTAGTGTAAACGGTATGGTCGCCAATGGTCGCCAAAATTTGTCACCTCGCTTCACTCGCAAAAGGTCTCCTTTTTTAGTTCTGCCGCAAGGCCTCCGTAACCTCTCTGTGGCACTACAAACAATTAGGCCAGAAAAAATCTATATCATTGTAGCCAGGCTTTATGTAACAGCCTTTTTAACAACAATAGAATGATATAATTCCTTCTGCTCTCAAGATATTTGTCAAGCAGATTGAACCAAATAAGTACAATTACCAACTTTACAAAAATTAAAGAAAAAATCTCAGAATTTTCATCGTTCAATACTTGTGATCTTTACAAGAAATACGTATGCAACATCAGTTATATTTGATTCAAATTATATTTAGCGTTGGTAATTCAAATTAGTTTGCTTTATTTGGCTTGAGTATATCTGCAGATTGTACCAACATTGAATAAAAGAAGAAAAAACAGCAAGTTCAGAGGAACTATATCCAAAAGTTATATCAAGCCACAAGGCTTATTTTAAGGAATTTTTATCACTGCACATATTCGACATTTTTGAAAATTTTGGTGTATACTTTTGAAAATTTTCATGACCACACCTATCAAACTAACTGGATTGTGAACAAAACTCAATAGCATTTAGATAATGAACAAATTTCAAAGAGATTTCCTAGATTAAGATCATTGTTACTGTTATGTTGTCGTTTTTAATATTGTAATGCTCTTTTATAAGCACTATGTGTCTACTGGTAGTTGCTGCAATTTTACTTTTTCAATGCCAAATCTCTTTATTTTAGTTTTATTACTGCACAAAATTTGAGTTTTTTCGTTGCACAATTACGATTTATCACTGCGTATATTGGTTTTTACTGCACGTTAAGATAAACCCTGTCAAGTCATGTAAATGGTCATCAGAACAAAATTTTGTTTTAATGTAAGGCAAGATTAGGTCCAGTCTCTCTTGATGGTTGATGTTGTGGTGAAAGAAATTTCGAGAATAAAGTTTGTCTATAGTCTTCATTCAAACGATCATTATGGGTGCTGCCTTCATTTCCGAGAGTGTATAAGACGCAGCAACGCAAAATTTCCCTAGGGGCTTCGCACCCAGAACACCGACCCCCCCTCCCTTGACAGCACTTTCACCTACAACCAGGCTTTGTCATTGCCTAAATGATGATTTCCGACCTGTTCAAGAAAACAATTAGTAAGAGATAACAAAGTTATGCCTAAAATTTGTACAACGTTTTAAACACTGGCAAAAAATGTCTGCAAAAAATATTCTGGAATGTATTTTAGCTCATCCAAAGGCCCTCATCTTTCCATTTTGACACGGCCTCCAAAACCTCTCGACGACACTGTTCACAGTTAGACCGACAATGATATTATTGTAGCCAGGCTTCCAGAAATAGCCATATTCAACCTTTCTTGAGTCTTTGTTAGAAATTTTTCATAGACACCCAGATTCTTCATTGAAAAATTTTTAACGGAATATCTTTTCTAGTTTGGTTCCTGATCTTAAACATTTCGTAAACAAAGGTTCAAATTTGGTTTATTAACAATCTGTAAGAACTTTTTAAAGAGACATCGTTATAATAATATCCATCGTATTTCTTCCAATTCAGTACACTGTCATAAAGGTAATATACTACAGTTTGATAATTATTGAGCTATCTCTTAGGTTATTGAACAATTATGTAAACAATCTTTTAGGGCATAAAATAACTTCATAATAGAATGTTGATTGGAAGAACGCTGCTTATGTAGTCTGGTTCGTAGAGATGAACAGCATAAAGAAATTAAAAGATAGGTTCTACACCAGGAAACGTTGACGTGTAGAAAAAATAAAGGGGTCCAGCTGATTACTTTTATCTCCTGAAGTGCTGTTGTGAAGGAGACACTAGAAATCTGTACGTATTCAAAGCCATGCAAACATGAGTTTTAGAGAGTCGATTTTTGAAAGGGAGAAATCTGTAGAACTAAAAAACTTTCAAGTTTCTAATTGGCGCTTCTATACATTTTCACGCTATTCTGCCTGGTCCTCCTGTAGCCTAAAAACCGAATAATTGGGAGGCCATTTGAAAAAATAGGTTTTTGGAGAAAGCATGTTAAATGGGGCCTTGCTATGGACATCAACAAGAATATTTTTCCTCCTTCCACCGTGGTCTTCTTTGGTTTTCTATTACACAAGGGCTGATTAAATTCGAAAACAAAGCTAGGGTTCGTAAGATAGGCTTGGAGAGAAAAGAAAAAAAACAAAAGGCAATATATGGGCTAAAAGTATTGAAACACAGCATATCTTTACAAAGTAATATCTTTACAGCATATCTTTACAAGACATAAAAAATTATGTCTTGTTGCCATCGCCAATTGAGTTCCGAGTATTAAACATACAGAAGAATACGAAATAACTTCAATTGGCCGTCAAACTGTTATCAATTCAAAGTCGTTCCAATCATGAAGAGGTTCGGAAAACAGAAAAGCGACCTGTGGGCCAGGCTTTGACTACTACAAACATCTAAGTCACTTTGTAGATATGCTAAGCCTTCTTTGCACGCCAGTTAAGAATATCATCTAGAGCATCATCAGAATCCTCAGAATAATTTTCCTCGTTCTTTTCTTTTTGATTACTTTTAGTCGAAACGACATTTTTCTTTTCTTCCCGCTTTTGCTTTAGCAGCTCGACTCTTGAGACGTATTTTCTGCAAAAGCATGGTATCAGATTGGTAATGGTGTAAGCAAAAAGAAATGGTGTAAGCAGAAAGAAATGAATTTAAACAAACAGTTTTTTCTCAATATATTAAAAATATTACATCAAAAGCATTGTCCCATTTAGGTAGCCCATTTAATCATTGCATACTGTTGTTAGAAAGCACAGTAGCTCTTGGAAGCCCCAAACCTTTTCAAGCAGATTGGCCTAGCTTCAATTTGATGTAAGTAGGCCGACCATCGTCTCATCCCAGGGCCTCTGGATCATCAATTGCAGTGCAGAATGAGATATCATTTACAATGAAAAAATACAAGTACAATGTTTCAATTCATCTCTTGCAAGTGACGTTTTACAGCAAGCTGACTGAGAAATAACTACAGCAACAGGTCAAAAGCAAGAGCACTTACTTTAAGGTTGCGTATTCGTCTAAATCTCTTTCTACTTTCAAATCTTCTTCTTCTTCGGCTTGCAGGTTTTCTGAAACCTTGAAAATGAAAAGAGAAGTTAAAACGCTCGGTTTGGTAGAAAAATAATTTGGAAATCAACTTCCAGAAAGCAGGTCCCCTTGAACATAAAAAAGAACATCGAAATCTATTTCATCTGAAAAAACTGTACATTCAAGATAGTTTTTCTGATCCAAAAGCGATATGGACAAACGTATGCTGCCAGTATCAATAAGCCACTACAATTCAATACCCGCACCATTCCATCAGACCTCCATTAATGGATACATGTATAATCTCGGCCATCAAATGTTTTGGTACACTATTTCTTGGTACACTATTTCTTGGTACACTATTTCATGGTACACTATTTCTTGGTACACTATTTCTTGGTACACTATTTCTTGGTACACTATTTCTTGGTACACTATTTCTTGGTACACTATTTCTTGGTACACTATTTCTTGGTTCACATTGGTACATTGTTAATGAACATGTTGACCAAAATCACGAACATTTTCTAGCATATCCTCCCCTCTCCCCTCTTCAAACAATACGGTTTCATCCAATGTAAAGAGGTTCATTCCGGGTAAGTGGACTTCTTTCTGTTAGTTATTATATTGGTCTCTTAAGTAACACTATAAACAATGATAGGGTCCGTCGTTGGTCATTCCTACCAGATTCAGTTCACTGTTTTAAAAGAACACTTATTACAACATTCCATAGATACAGTTAAAAGAACACTTAAGCAACTGGGCGTTCTAAGGACTTTTGGCAGGGATTTTAGGCTAAGTACGGGTTTAGAATATTAAGAGTGCATAAAAAGATTCTCTCTGTGCATGTTAATCAACGTTAACCATCATTTCTCCCATTTTGTACGCTGTTTGTACCAAACTGGGTGGATTACAAGCCTGGCACACGCATATCCCAAAATCCAATCCGACCCCCTACTTTTAATAAAAACCTGTACCTCTCATATTTACAGCATACCTGCATCAGAGAGTTTTCCGACATTCTCAATGCCGCCCATAACTGCAATGCTTCGAATCAACAGTGTTGTTAACCAATGCTATGCAGTCTTTCGGGTGTAAATTTACTGAAATGCTGCAGACCATATTGGCAATATTGACGGATACAAATTGAATGATACCTAATAAGTATAACAACAGTAATATTTGGGAAAGTTCGAGTTACAAAGGTTCGAATAACACATGTTCACATTTGACAGAGTTAAATATACTTAGCCATCCAACCTTCGTTTCTTCAGCAATCATTTTTTGAAACTGCTCCCATTCTTCTTCCTTCTTATCCACATATTCAACTTTTCTGACCTGCAAATACAAAAACACTGGTGCTATCTAAATAAGAATCAAGATTTTTCTTAAAAAAGTATGCCCGTCTATATACATATCCATAACTAAATCACCTGTCGATAAAAAGTCTTAGAGCTTCTTTAGATCAGAGTACGACAAGAAAAGCTTTTGAAATAAAATATCTGCAAAAATAGATTGAATAAATTTACTCCTAGATTTATAACAGAAGGACTACAAAGTATGTGAAATTGCCTCATCTTGTTCCTTGAATTTGCATAAAGAATAAAACCAAGTGATGTAAACAAAGCACCACTACAGCATGTTACAACAATAGTGTTGCGTATATCCACCCTGAAGATGCAAATGAACCTATGCTTATTGAGGTAAGACAAAATCAAATAACTTAATTTCCATGTGTGGACATGGGAGATTGCATCTCCAAAGAAAAATCCTTGGTGATATTAAGCGGGGTCAGGGGGGGGGGGCGAGAGATTAGTTTGTTAAATGTTTAATGACAGACATAAAGGCTCTTTATAAAATACCTACTGGAAACAAAGGACGCAGCACCGGGGCTATTAAGAGCGGTGGCCACGTAAAGGGGGAAGACAAGCAAAAAGGAAAACAAATAGTAAGGCCTTCTGATGCTAAATAGCGTACTAAGAGAGCTAAAAAGTCTTAATCAAACTGGACAGCACTTTTAACGATGTCATCAGGAAGATTTTTTATACAAACAAACTGGTGGTAGTTTGTTGCGACTGGGAAGTTTAAAACAGGTCATAGGAAGGAAGAATTTAGTTACAAGAAGCTCGAAATTCATCATTCAAAAAAATAGGAAAGAATTTGAGCAAGTTGCAGTACCTTGGCATCTATTTTAGCATCATCAAAAAAACCCTCCGGGAGTTTTTCTGAAATACTTTTTGAAGTCGTTGGTACGGGTGAGCTGTAAAATCAATAGATTATGGATATACTTTCAGGAAAGGAAAATATTTGTGAATTACTACATTGATTTTGCCTTTAAAGACTACAGATAATTGTTTGGAAGCAAGAAATGGGTTGATCATTTTTCAGTTCTTTAGTCTGTCAAATTATCGGGCTTACTGGTGTAGCATGTGCTTCCCGGAACTGATTGTTATTGTATATAATTTAATAATGTCATCGTCTCTATCTGAATCTTTGTACTCTGTTGTTTGTACAGTATGTCTGTTGTTCTGTCTTGATGTGTTGATTAACAAACTGTGATGTTGTATAGAATGATTAGATCTAAATTGTAAAGTTGAGTTAGGCGTCCCTCTGTATAACCCTTCAAATCATTTAGAGTACAGTCAGTCTCTTAGAAAATCTATTCAGAATGCTAATATTCTTGCTAGACAACGGCTAGAAAGAAGCAGAGTGAACTTTATGACAAGGGTCACAAATCCTGGAGCCCTTTGGAACCGGGTCAGACAGTTTGGTTATGGAGACCTAAGCATTGGAAGTTTGGGAGACGATGGACTGGACCATACAAAATAGTTTCCAGGCAAGGGGTTAATTACAATATCCAGTCCAATAGTGGGAAATCGCTTGTGGTTCATCATAACCAGCTCAAACCATGTCCCATTCCATTTGACCAAGGGCAACAACTCATACATCCAGTACCTGAAACACCAGGTATTCAGATAGGAGAAGCTCTACAGAGGGATGAGCAGGAAGGGGCCATGGAGGTCAGACTGAGGGAACTGCCAGACCTGCACGCCTTCGCCAAGTTATAAATTCACCAAGGCGATTTGGAGAGTTTGTGGTATAATAAGCAGACACACTGCATACCTTTTTGTGTGGTAGAGCTTTATGTTTCATTTAATTTCACGCTAAGGGATACTCAAATTTGTAATTTTCACCATATTATTAACACACAAATATCATTACAAGATTATCATTCATCAACAGCTCAACAACTCCTCCTTAATTACAATAACAAGACTTTTTATACTATTTACAGTGCGCATGTGCAATTACAACAATAGAGTGATAAACAAAGTATTAATCCTACTACATTTGTACAAAGGAGGGAAGGGTGTAGCATGTGCTTCCCGGAACTGATTATTATTGTATGTAGTTTAATAATGTCATCGTCTTTATTTGAATCTTTATACTCTCTTGTTTGTACAGTATGTCTGTTGTTCTGTCTTGATGTGTTGATTAACAAACTGTGATGTTGTATAGAATGATTAGATCTAGATTGTAAAGTTCAGTTGTTGGATTGAATATGACATGAACATATGAGCTTGTATTTGTCTTCCTCGCTACACTGGTGTTCGAGCGGTTAGTGAACCACAACCTTTAAAGTTAGCACAAAAGAAAGTTCAATGAACCACCGACCCTTATAGTTAACACAGTCATAGCTGCATTTGGGTAGTTTACTTTTGATCTTCTAACTATTTGAGGTCAAGCAGACTAATTGTAAAAGAGAGATACACAATAACATCTAAGCATTAAACATTAAGAACTTCTGCTTAAGAAAATAGGTTCAAAGCTGATAAATAAGACTTCTTGCAAGTTACAGTCTAGACCCAAATTGAACGTTTTAACTATAAGCTACTTAGGCAGTAGTCACACGAACTTCAAGTCAGAAATAACCTATAGGCAGCGAAACATGCCAGAGAGTGTGGAAAACGAAAATTTTCAGTTGCACCGCCAACTCACGCTTAACGCGATTATTGGGCAACTGTAATACGCTATCGACTACTGCCTCGTGATTGGATTACGGGAAAACAGTAATCTTCATAAGCATAATTCTAACCATTCGACAAGTTCTATTCTCCGATTATATGCTAGCTGCAGATGAGGGACCTTTAACAAAGATACAGGCCGGTTTCCACCTGATTCTCTTCGGTCGCGCGACTAAGCGAATGTACATTTAGACCAGGCTACAGTGGCGGTAGGTGCCACCTCAGGGCGGAGAAATTCAAATGGATATTTTCAGGTAGCTATTGGTCTGGTTACTTGGAAAAGTGATGGTGAACGGGGAATTGTTGGGGTTTATGGGGTAAATACGGGGGTTAAAGTTCGTCATATTAGCATATTACCTCTGCGGAGGAGCCACTGTTTTGTTAACGACTTCAGAGCATGACAAGTGCTTGTTATCATAAAAAAGTAATCTAGAGGGAGTCTTTTAGAGCCTCTTCTTTAAATTCCGACATATTGCTACAATTAGAGTCGTCATGTGACCAATTTTTACCCCTTACCATATTTGGAAGGTGAGCCTTTTCTAACAGAATACCTGAATTTTTTTTTGTTTAATACTCTTAAATGTTACAGTAATGTACAAATCAGCAAGATTATTCTACAACCGATCTGTTGTTGATAGATACCCTGAATAACTTTGAGTTTATGACTGTTTTTAACTATGTGTAGAATAATGGTTGCGAAGACATGATAATTTATTAGGTCCGTTTGATTTCATGCGCATTTGGTTATTACGTGATGACTCCACATCTCCTTCAGATGCTGGGCAACCTTTTTCGCAATTCATCGCTTTGAAAATATTTGTACAAATAGTAACACAAATATGTAACGCAATGAACTCAATAAATCACGGAAATACGTAGCAGAACAAAAAGACCTGTGTGCATCATTACCAAGAAAGAATTGTTTTGCTCTAAGCGTCATTTTCTTTATTTAAGTTGTTATTTTCGCTCTGAAAATTGGATACTCTGTGTACCTTTAAAGTATTGAGGAGGTCCTCTTTTATTTATATTTTTAAACATGCAAGGCCTAAGCTGTATTGTTCATTACCCGAGCAAAGATTGTCTGTACAGTAATATTAAAGATTTGTCTGACATAAATAAAGAAAAAATTGCAAAGGCTACTCGTTTACGACTTGGTGGCAAAATCTCCACGAAGAACAATGCAGCTCCATTCCTGACGAGGTTGATTCAAATAAGCACGGAGTTCACTTAGAACCTTGTTATAAAAAAATTTACAAAGATCCTGTCCCATGAGAAATTCCTCGCAGAAACTTGCACTGAAGCTATTCAGCGTCCACAAACACTAAAGACTGCAGCTACTCAGAGACCAGATGTTTATCCCCAGGTGTGTAATTTTTGCCAAAAGTACCGGGTAAAGAGGCAACAGAAACATCATGTACCAATAACGATCACGACGAAGCAGGCCGAACTAACGTAAAAGAAGCTGCCGAAGCCAATATCGATCAGAACATTTATTATGAAATTAAAGATGTTGATCTCATAGCTAAAGAATTTAAATACCATGAATTCTGCTACAAAGAGTTTACCAGGAAAAAGAAACGCTTTAACTCGATATCCATCGAAAAAAGTTGTTGTACGTTCTCCATCCTCAGACATCGACATCTTGGCAATTTTATTAAGTATTATTAAAGAGCAAAGTCAAGCATATCTCGATTTTGGAGTTGGTTTGAATAGAAAAGGACTATTTTTGTCTGATATTGAAATGGAAGATGGGTTGAAGAAATGCCTGATAGGCTTTCATGCATTCACGGGGAATGACTATGTGTCATCTTTTTTCCGCAAAAGGGAAATCAGAATGTTAGGAGGTTGTCCAGAAGAACAACAGACTTGTTAACACAATTTCCCGACTTGGGCAGGTATGGAAACTTGATGAGCAAATATTTGTTAACCTTGAAGAATATGTTTGCCATTTATATGGATATCGGCAAAAAATGTCAATGATGTGAGGAAAAAATTATTTGACAAAAAGTATGTAAGGCAAGGCAAAGCCATAGACATTTCAGTCTTGCCTCCATGTCAATCATCACTGAGGCTACACATATTGCGATCAAACATCATTGCAAAGATTTGGAAGTCATCGGGTGAAAGGTCCATAAATTTGACAGATCTTTCTACTTCGTGACCTTCGGAGATGATAAAGAAAATGAAAATGAAACCTAAAATGGATAAACAATGACAAATGCAGGTATCTTTGCCTTAACTTGCATCTTTTAACATTTAAGAGTATCAAACAAAATAATACGTGGTACAAAAAAAAGAACAAAGGTATTCTATTCTGTTAAAAAGCTCACCTTCCAAATATGGTAAGGGGTAAAAATTGGTCACGTGACTTCTCTTATTGTAGCAATATGTCGGAATTTAAAGAAGAGGCTCTAAAAGACTCCCTCTAGATCATTTTTTTATGATAACAAGCACTTTCACTTATCTGAAGTCGTAAACAAAACAGTGGCTCCTCCGCAGAGGTAATATGCTAATATGACGAACTTTAACCCCCGTATTTACCCCTTAAACCCCAACAATTTCTCGTTCACCATCACTTTTCCAAGTAACCAGACCCATAGCTACCTGAAAATATTCATTTGAATTTCTCCGCCCTGAGGTGGTACCTACCGCCACTGTAGCCCGGTCTAATTGGAGCATGCGCAATTGTGAGCTTCTCATTCGCTGCGAATGCGCAACCATCCGCTGAGTAGTTCAGCTCAGTTAAATTACTGGGCGACTGGTCGCGTTCGCCGTTTCGCTGATTGTGAATCAAGCGAATCAATTGGAAACCGGCCTCAAAGATACCTTGCGTAATAACAGAAGCTCCTTCGTCGCGAATATGTTATCTAAAACAGCTTTATAATATCCTATCTTCAAGGTCTTAACCTTACAGTCGATCGCCCAGGATTGCCCCACCGCAAGGTACTACCCAGGATTGCCCAATCCTAAGTAGCCTCGTGTTAACCTTACAGTCGATCAGTTGTTGAGCCTAAAACACTGCTAATCGAAAAGGAAGAAAAAGTCAGCGGCCCTCTCTAGATGGTAGCAAAATTCGAAAACTGGGTTAATCACCTGTGGTAAGAATTTGATGATATGATACAAAAGATATAAATTACAATATCCGCATGATATTTCTGTATAAATACGGATAATAAAAATCTAAGATACAAATATGTACTATTTACGGCATAAAAGAAAATGCCATACGGCTGATGATGAAAAAGCCACCCCAAAGGAACCGTATTCTTTGATTGTCATTTCGCGAGGACATCAATTACAGTTTCAGTGACGCCATGTCAAAACATGAAGATTTCCGCTATGGCTTTTTGATATCGATTAAAATACAATGAAATTTTATCTGATTGTTACTGTAGAGGAACAGGTACTTTACAAATATATCAAGAAAATATGGATATCATAGGTTTATCGTTTACGACAAGGATAATCCAACGAAGGATAAATGAAATTTTAAGTGATTTAAGGCTAACATGAATTTTTTTTAAATGAAATCACACGCCGGCTTATTACACTTCCTATTCTGAATAAATCAGTGGTTGATTTAAGGGGTTACCTACTCAACTGAAAGAGACTACTCAATTTGCCGGAATACCGGATTAACGGCGAATATCTATATATATATCGGCGTATTATCTTAAAGAGGAGAAGAAAACAGTCATCGCATGAAGAGTCGCAAAGCAGAAGCGCTTAAATAGATACCTTTGTGAAATTTACATAAAAACGCATAGCATTTCAAATTCAAAATAATGATTAAGGTGGTTAGAATGGGTCCCTTCGAAGGAGCAGGATCAAAGGAGAGCATGGCAATATACAGTTTTAAAGTGTCTTCCTAAAGACTTTTGCCAGAAGCGTTAATATGCAAATATAAATAAAGATCCTGATGAAAATACCCACTCATCACCCTGTATATCTCACGGTCGCTAGCTGAAGTTACAGGCTGAAGACTAAATGTAAATCAAACTATTTCTAGAAGAAGACTTTTACGAGTTTATGATAATGCAGGTAGCATGTAACATTCTTTGGACTGAGTCAGTAGGCAAGTCATATAAAGATCCTTACCTTTCATCGTTGTCGGGCTTTTCAGGATGTTCCTCAATTTCCTTCTTTGAAGTCATTTCTTTTGATGTGTCTTTGTCAAAGAAATCTGAAGAATGCGAAAAAATGATCTTCATAACGGTGCTATAAATGCTAATATTGAAATAGCTAGAGATGGCAAAGCTTCATACAATTTTTGGTATCCTGAGCAGAATGGAAATTTTGAGCCATATTCAATTTTAAAAATTACCGTTTCACTTATTTTTAAACATCAGACTTGTATTGAATATATTATAAATTCACAATTAAACGATTCACTTTTACAGGCATCATATAACTGGCTTATCTGCATTACTGACAATGTTTAGAACTCCATCTGTTCGGGGTGGTTTGCTTCGATGAAAGAAGGTATAATAGGTGCAACGGGTAGAAATGTTCATGAGTTTAATCATAATGAATTTAGTTTGATTGGAGTCAAAGTTGAGTTGATGTATCATGTCAAAGAGAGTGGTATATGAGGTTCCAAGAATTCCAAGGGCACTCACGGAAAGGTTAACAAAGACAACGCTGCTGTAGGCAGGAATCAGTTCCTTGATAAGATCACTGTTATTATAAAATTGCCAATATTGTAATGATTGTTCTTATCGAGGACCACTGATGTTCTTATTAGTGAATCCCACAGAGCAAGTTTTCAAAGCGTTCTGACAGATCAGATAGAAGTGTGATCAGACAGACTTTAATAACGATATAAGACGCAAATCCAGGGAATGATGACTTATTAAATGCTCGACTTAGACGCCTAAAGCAGTTTTGAGAATAGTCTGGTATACATAAATCCAATTTCCGGGTAAAAAAACAAACGTAGAATATTAGAGTTGACAAATCCGCAAAGAAATGACTGTCCCATTTCTTAAATAAAAACCTGCCAACTTCTAATTTTCAAAAACCATCATATTTTTGAGCCACAGTGGAATACAGTGGGACGAGGATTGAACTGATATACCTAAAACTTCCTGATCTGCTTAAAACTGTACTTAAACCGGAACCTAATTTCTAACTACCCTAGAAAATGTATAAGTGTTCTTAACTAATATTAAACTTCATAAGAGGCTGTTAGAAGCTTATTACTTCCCCTAATCAACGCAGGATTCAACCAATAAGAGCAGAGCTAATTACTTTGTGGTCTTTTTATAAAAATGAGCTTTTAAACGGAGAATGAAATGATATTGTAATTAGAAGCTTTTTAATGTGAGATTAGACTAACCCTTCTCAGTGAAATTATTAGCAAAAATGAATGTCGAAACGATTACAAATCAAGCAATAACAACTTTTTTTGTCATGAATGAAAAACCATTGTGTGCAAAATGTTATTCAGATGCAAGAAGGAAGAGGTCTGAGAATTGACTTTCCGCAATAAAACTTTCCAATGAGAAGGAAGAAAGATGATATGACAAAGTCAACAAAGAAACGAGGTAATGCAATAGACTCGTTTCTCATGGGTGATGTGCCTTAAATAATGTCTATGAATGATGTCTAGCTACTCAAGATATAAAAAATGATTTTCAAAAGCACCAGTAAAATAATTGAAATTCGCATGGCAAATAGCACATAAAGAAACAATTCATGTATGCAACAGATGCAATGATGTGAGAAAGAGCACCGAATAATAGTCTAAAGCGTACCCAAAACCTATTCAATTGTATCAGGCAACTGATCAGAGAAACGATCGTAATTGGGTTTCAGTATACCCATAAGCTTGATACCAGTCAAATGTGTGAAGAGGGCAGACCCTTTGATATATCGTAACAATTGTATGATGCATTTGTCACACAAATAAAGGAGAGGAACACTAGAAAAGGGAACTGAAAGCAAACAGATTGATAGGGAAGACAAACTTATCAATCAAAGTGCCTTTACAAACCTCAAATGAGGGAGACTGTAATACATGTTGAAAAATTGAATGATAAATCCAATATTCAAAGAATAATCCCCATGAAGCATCTTTATTAGTTTAAGATTACCTCTCTGTTTGTAAACTAACCAAAAAATTATTAAAAGAAGATTCAACTGCAAGATAATGGCATTGACTTCAACAACTTGGGAGGCCATTCTAATTAAGAACATTAATTAGTGAAACCCTCACTCACAAAAGACAACTAAGCGGAACACTTATGGCAATATAGATTTCCTCCCAGAAATCTTTCAATAAGTAAGAACAAAGATTGCAAATTTGTCTCAATTTCTTCAAGACATAGCAAAGAGTTTGGAGTATCCTTAAACATTACCTAAATAAGAGTCCTGTGGAAATCCTTAACAGTGTTATTGAAAACCCAAATGATCCTTTTAAACATCCATGTTTTTTTAATGAAAAATGTTTGATCTGAGACCAGGCATTAATAGACAGCATGTACCCTTTACTGTTTCATTAAATGATTGGATGAAGCTGTTGAGGGGTTTGGCTGACTCAACAGCATTCAATGATTCACTTCAATAAAGCTACTGGAAAAGTAGATACTGCATGCACACTATGTTTCCAAAAAGGAGACTAGAGCTGGAAAAATATGCTGGATTCATTAGTCCTGAAACAGGAAAGGGTTTCTTTAAAGCAACCATTTAACAATGAGCTCAAACAAAACTTTGCTATCTCTACTGAATTAATGCATTTTTGCATAAAACATGACCCAGACATGACCTAGATTTGGAGATAGTGTATTCATGTTTTGTCGGTAGCCTCTTGAAATGCTAAAGGACCCCCCTAAAACGGTGTTTTTATCATTTTAAGCAAGCTATATCTTCAAAAATACTACTTTTTAGTGGTAAATAATGCCAAAAATGACTCATTTGGATGGAAAAATACTTGGGAACCAAATTTCAAATTGATATCTTTTAGCACTGTTGAGTTATTGAATGTCAAAGTTGGCAAAATTGTGCTCAAAGCCTAAAATGTTAAATTTTGGCTGATTTTGACAAGATTTTAAAGCTCAATAACTTTAGAACTGTTTGAGCAATGAAGCTGAAATTTTCAGCATTTCATTTTTTACAGGTATGGTCCATATGATAGAAGTTTAAACAGAATCTGAGATAGTGCCCATAGGCAATTCCAGAAAATTTTGTGATTTGACATGGAATGACCCCATAATGAATTAACAACTTCAACTACAATAACAAATTGATAATCTTTAATGTTGATATTGAGTATAAAAGTCATTCATACAAAAGTTAAAACTCTTTCAGTTGGAGCTAGAACTCACCAGCAGGAAGTGCACTTTTTACAGAGTGCTTTGATCCTTTAAATTCAGCAGTTGGGGCTTTTGGTATCTCTGAAATACAGAAGTGCATTGACAAAACTTTTACCAAACAAATGATTAAGGGAAGTTTGCAAAAACTTTTAAACATCATTCAGCTTAAGAAAAAAGATATTGGTATTCATCTTTCTAAAATGTGTTAGGAATAATTGTGTGTTTTCTAGCCATATCTTGCAAGCAAATCTCAACATTCAGTGTCACCAATGGCAGATTTAGCCCTCATTAAAACATCTATAAAACATATAAAGATACATATGTCCTGAAAAGAGATATAGTCACAAGGCAAAGGCTGAAAAGAGGAGAAATATTTCCACAAGAGTACTGCCTGATTGTATGGAACCACACTCTTGGCCAGGACTGAACTCCAGTTTGCTGCTTCAAAAACAAACGCTCATTCCACTGAGCCAAACGATCCAATGAAATAAGCGAAGAATTTTCAAAGGGAACACTAAATCAGGCACAGCAGAGCGTTGAGAAAAGTGGGTGGTTTAAAAAAAGAGGGGGCTAAAACCGTATAAAAAGAGGCTTTACTGGTAGTTTGGTATTTAATATTTAGCATTTCATGCAAAAAGTGGGGGGCTAGAGCCCCCCAGTCCCCCTGCTTTGCAGTGCCTGTGTAGATCTGGCTGTAGGCAAGGCAGTTGTCTTTTCTGTTTCATCAGATACATTTTTACATACACAAATAATCAGAAGGCAAAGGCTGACAGGATGAGAATTCTTTCCACAAGCGTGCTGCCCAATGGTATCAAACCATTCTTATATATATATAGTAAATATTTATTATCTTGGAACAAAAAAATTGTCAACACATACCTTCATTTTTTGGTTCCTTATATGATGCTGAATGATTCACCTGACATGAGGGAAAAAATGTCTTGAAACATAACAATTTTTGGTGAAGTTCCACTTTAAACATTTGCCATTAAACATAACTAAGAATAGCGAAGAAAGTAGAGCCATGAAGCTCTACTTGCACCAAATGTTTTATTTCAAATTTTAAAAAAATATGTCTTACATGATTAGTTACAGACATAAACATGCTGTCCAGTTTAGTATTTGATCTGGCATTCACATTTACATACGCCAGCTCAGAGCCCGTGTCACAGGGGGGGTATGGCCCTCTTTACTTTTCTTGCTAATAGGTGTTAAATATCCCTTTTAAGTATCAAATAGATAGCCCCCCTTTTTGCCCCCCCCACTTTAGAATCGTTGGTGTGGGCCCTGCAGCTCTATCAATGACTTTTTCAATTGAAACTAAATTTGCACAGAGCATAATTTCCACATAACACAAAGAGCATAATTTGTCGAAACACTATGAATCAATTACTCTTTGAAAGGGGCATTTTTTACAAAAACTTGTTTTTGCTAATTTTTACCATAAATTATAAATGAATGTTTCATTTGGCAATAGAATGCACTTACTACATCCTTTTTAATCTTCTTTGGTGGAGGTGCATAGCTCTCCTGAAAGAAAATAATCAAAAGCATGCAGAAATCAACTTTATTCCAAGTATGCAGACATAAAATGCTGAAATAAGCACATATCATATCATACAAACAAGAATATAAGCACTAACTTGCATTTAGCAAAAAACTTTCGTTTAAACTTTATACAATCTTATTTTACACTCCAAATGACATACTGCTCTTCCTATATGGCATTGAACACTAAATAACATACTAATAGAGACTGGACACTAAATAACATGTCATGGGTCACTTTAAATACTTTAAAATACAGATAAATATCTAAAAAGTCATGTATCTAATAAAACAAATAGAGGTGTTATGTAAATAACAAACCTTCATCTGGGAAGATTTCACTTTCAAGGCAGTGACAGCCTAAAAAAGGTTATCATTTATTTAAAAAGCATTTATTAAAAATTATAAAAACTTTGGTTTTTAAATAACAATAATTTTGTAAAAGAATTAAATACTTTTACAGTTAACATGGTAGACTAAGACTTCCAAACCATATAGTGGATGTATCTTTCAGTGTGTGGAAATGAATTGAATTCAAGGCTTACAAGCCTCTGAAGAAATGAAACAGGCTAGTGCAATAACAAGGTTGTTTATAACCAGAATATCAAAAATATACACTGGAAATTACGCTCAAAATCTTTTCGTCTCATTAAATGTCTCATTAAATGTCTCATTAAATGTCTCATTAAATGTCTCATTAAATGTCTCATTAAATGTCTCATTAAGTGTTTCATGTTGTTAATTTTCAACTTGATACACTTAATTGGAATCATGTTGTTATTGGGTTGAGACAATATTTCAATATTAAGTGCAGTTGGACCCTGGGTTCTCTGTCCTATTTGGACAAGCTGCAAGTGGGAACAAATTAGGCAATAAGCAGACAATTTCAATGTCCATCAACAAAAATCAGATGGCCTGATATCACAGAATGAAACAAATTCTCATAGTTTATGTTGCAAACTGAATCAAGATGTGGCCAAAATTATTCTTCAAGCTCCCAATGTCTCTTACCTCTTTATGTTTCTTGCTCAAAAGGTGTGGCTGCCACAGTAAATCATTTTTCAATGGCAGATTACAAACAACGCAGGTAACTTGTCCCAAATTGTTATATGTAGAAGTTATTAAGGGCAACAATAAGGTAACATAAGCAACCAAAGTCCAAATGTCTATGGAAATGTCTATGCGAATGTCTATTTGAATGACTAGATGAATGTCACACGATAAATAGCAGAATGCCTGCAAAACATCACCTGTGCACAGAGCTGTGGGCTTTTCAATATTGATGAAGCCCTGTATGCCGGGGCAAAATATTAGTATACTCTTTAAATTTAATTTATTTTGAAAATTTTATTTTGTGACATTGGATTCTCGTCGTCGTATTGCTTTGTTCCTGTATATCTTTCATTTTAAAATCTCATTGCAAGATTCACAGAATCCGGCAGACAGCCTATCCTGCGGCTCTTCCTTCTCACACATTTTCAATATTGGCTGCTCAAAATAACATTTAAAGGCATTGAATCATGATAAAATGGATTGGGTATACTCTAAGTGCCAAAATCCACTGAGTCATGGTTTTCATGACTGCAATGTTATTGGTTGACCTGGAACTGGTCACATGAACTCACCTCATACTGATTGACAAAACAATTTCCATCAATAGCAAGTTGTCAACAAAGGATGCAAACATCACATGAAACAGCAGCAATCACACTGAAACCAAATTACCCCCTATAGATCCAGTCTGCAGAGTGTGGCATGGTGCACACATAAGATCTTTTTAGAGGTATGTCTAATGCAGATAAAAGCATAGGCTGCACAAAAAATTTTCTTGATACTAGAAAATTTTACCCTTTTTGAAATGATGCCAAAAATCATTTTATTTGAAATTTTGAAATGCTGATAAGTTGGGATTCTAGTATTCATAAAACAACTTTAACTTGTGTTGCTCAGCACTAGAACCATCTGATTGTCACAAGTTGAAAAAGTTACTGTTTATAACTAAATTAGAGAACATGTACCACTTTTGATATGTGCATTTGGTGAGCAGATTGAATTTCTCTAGATGCGATTTCCTCCTGATTTGAAAAGCTCTGGCATGCAAATGCATCGAAGGAAATATGAGGCACAGCTTTTCAGGGTTGCTTAATGAAATCTCAAAGCCTTGTGAGGTTGGAAGAAAGGGGGTTCGGGGTACTCCCCAGGAAAATTTTTAAGGGCCAGACCCTATAGATTACTGCAGAATGGTCCTTGAGTCATCTTATATGTCAGTATTTTGATTTAATTTTTCTAAATGAGCTATGCTTGCCCTAAAGCCATTGATGCCCAGAATTAAAATCTACTGATAAGCATATTTCAATTTTCTGAAAAACTACAGACTTAGGTCTAAACTTATTCTCAACTTCCTAAGCAAGGGATGGTAAGAAGAGGCCTTTCTGTTACTAACAAGGGACATAAAAGGTCTGGATCAAAGAAAGTAAGATTATTTGGGAAACTACAGTATCTGACTTGTGCTCAATCATGGTTATAGGGTCAATAATTTACTCTGTAGAGATCATTCTATGGACTGAATTATTTTGAAATCAACTGACTGAGTGAACTTTTTTTTTTGGGGGGGGGGGGTTACATTTCAATCCCACGACCCCACCTAGAGGTTTGGCTAAGTACAAGGGAGGGGGTCGAAATAATTAAAATTTAATCATACAAAATATATGATTGACTCCATGCTGAATTATAATCTGTGGAATGCTTGAAAGGGCTTTTGCAGGAAATAATTGCTATGCACACATTGCCAGACAAATTGACAAATACTTTGCCCACTAGAAGCTTGCTGCACACATTGGATCAAAACTGAACAGTGTGCACACATTGCACACTTTGTCAGCACTCTTGCACACATGCACACATTTATATTTGCTCTTGCACACACAAGATCTTGTCAAGAACTACCACGCTCTGCAGATTGCCTATAGAGAAGGTCTATTTACCATGACTTGATGCCTTTAACATTATCAAAGCTTCAAATTTATAAGTGTGTATGATTATGGGCATACGGCTCAAGATTTTCAAAGTGAACTTGTCCTGGCAAGAAGAAGTATCCAGTTTGGTTTTTGTGTACATAAAAAACAACACATGAAACAACATTCATATATATAAATATATATATGTTTATGTTGAATTTTAGTATTTTAAAGAATTTTTGCTACAAAAATCATAATTATTGATGACTGATGATGGCAAAATTGATGATGCTGTTCAAATGAAGGTCGTCGTGATTAAAATTCGTCACATGTACCCATGTTTATTTTACGTTTTGTACTTGGCATTATAAGTTTAGAGCAGCTTGTCTTCCTAGAGGCATTGAAAAGGATATTTTGCCAAAGGGTGATCAATCCTTCGTTTACTTTGCTGCTCTCGCAACTTGCGAAACCCCTGCTTGGCATCCATTTCAATTTCTATTTCAAACTGTCCGTGTCGCCGCCATATTGTGTATAGGACATCACTAGTTTGTACCCCTGTGTCACAGAATAGAAATGACATTTCTATGTGTTGAGATAGGAATTGGAGCAGACAAAAGGGCCCCAACAGGTTATTGGAACAAATGTTATTCTTGCTTTCAGACACCCTGCCACACAAAGTTCCTTTATTTTCATAAACTGTTCCAGAAAGTTCAATTTTCAGAGTGTTTTTGGATTGACAATATCCACTGTTAATTACAAAATTTGCCTTGTATCTACACTCTTTTTAAAAGAACCAGAAAATTTTTGCTGAGGCTCATTCTGAATTTTGTTTTTACTTCAATATTGTTTTTTTCTACATTTGCACACAAAGATTGCTTCCCCGACCACTAAATAACAGTTTCGCATGACTTTTTAGTGCACGGTGGATTGGCCGATAAAATCTTTTCTGTCTTGTTAAGATAAAAGAATATTTTCAAAATCACCGTGCTCGTCTTCTACTTAGGTTAGGCATACTCTATTTCTTATCTAAGGTTAGGCATAGTCTAACATCTTTTTGATTTTTTTGCAGATCATGACCCAGTGTTCTTATTAAGTGTGTTCTTGTAGAAAAAAGTGAAGTTGAAAGTTCTTTGGCCTGTTTGACTTAACTAACATAATTCTATATAGCTACCATAATTTTCAAAGAAAGAGACAAAGGTGAAAAGTCATGGTGTTCATCTGTCAACTGCAGGCTAGCATGATTAAAGTCATACCTAAACGATATATTGACTCATCAATTGAGAAAATAAAAGCAATTTTTACTCAACTCTTTGGAAAGCTTCGTCAAAGGACGAACACTGCTTATAAATTAAGCATAGATGATTTTGAACCACATTACACAAATATCTAAATTGGCAAAATTTATAATTAATCTACTTTTTTAGATGATAAATTAATTATCTTTCTCGTGTCTTTTCGGTTTCATCTTTTTAAAAACATAAAATTTTTGGAGTTCGAAATTTCAGATAAAAAGCTATAGTTTAGGATGTGAGGTTTGAAAAAATATTATTTTGTGTTACATGGATCAGTAGCGGGAGACCAGTAGCAACAACTGCAATAACCAGGGGACGGATTTAAGCAACAATGATTAGGGGGGGGGGTGTTAGACAATAATTTTGGTACCACACCCTTCAGGTCATTGGTAAATGATGGAAACGCCCATTTTTGAAATTTGGTTTTAACTGTGGCGTAGCCAGATTTGGAAGATTGGTAGGCCGAAGAGGAAGATATTTCTGCTGATCACACCCCTAAGAATTTGAGAAAACACCAATTTTGTAATTGTGTTTGAAAAAGCCATGACATTATTAAGTGGCAATTTCCCTTTATTCAGCGTCATAGGTAGCTGACCATATTGTACAACTGTCTATTTCCTTCACCATTCCGCTAACGTTTAAATCCTGAATTGTGTAAGGCGAGGAAGCACTAAGTGTAAAAAGTTACTTTCCAAAGTTGTTATCAAATATCCAAAAATAGTAAACAGTATTCAAAAGTTTTAAACCAAGTCCATTTTCCTTGAAGCAAAATCAAAGAGAAGCATTTCAGAATCCAGTTTTTTTAAGGATTGGACTGCTTTAGCATTTTAGTTTCTATTTATCAGGAATGTCTTAAAAACGTGAAGACTTTTCTATACAAACCCCAAAACGAGGGGAAATTACTGAACACTGAGGCTCTCTTGCGAGCAGAAATTTTTTGCGACGTACCCTTAATATCAGCTTAAAATACATTTGAGAATATCCCCCCCCCCCGCTACGCTACTGATAAGAAGATAAATTCTGAAAAAAAAGTAAAGTAAATAATGGCCTTACTTTTCTACTATTGTGTACCAAAAAAGGATTTTACCGAATGAAACAAAATTTACCGAAGGACACAGAAATATTGGGGGGGGGGGGTGTCGCACCCGCAACACCCCTGCTAAATCCGTCCCTAGCAATAGCGTGTTACTTGTATTGTAACTGGGAGAAGTTTGGATGCTCAGGCCAGTCACAAATAAAGACATGTGGTAAACAACAAGGTTTTTAAAGGAAAATTTAGAGTTGCACATTATTCTTGGGAGTACGTGTTGAAAAAAAACTACTGGTTCTAGCACAAGTGAAAGCAAAACGGACATGATGTGTACATGTGTACGAACAGGTAGACACTGAAATTATGCATCTTTCGTTGCCATGCACTTGTGGGGTAAAAATATATGTTCTATTTACATTCCTTATATTCCTTAACACTCCATTTAAAAAATCTTTCCTAATGGATTTATATTGTAGTAACAATTTCAGTAAAATAGCTTATTCTAACTAACCCTGGAAGCAAAGTTTGAAAGTATACTTTTATTCAACACTGAGTGTGTCTAGCATAACATTGCGTGCAAAACTTTCATTAAACAGGGTTTTTTAATGTAATGAACGCTAAGCAATCCGACACTGCTGCTGCTGACCAGGCTGTTTTTCTCTTCTAATATTATCATTTTTCTCTTAAGCTAACAATAAACTACAAATCACTAGCATGCAATACCCATGATGGGGCCTGTACTCATATGTATATTAGATTAGATAAGAAAACCAAGTCTTGAGCATATAAGAACTATTGCCAGTTACTGATTTTATATAAGTAAATGTTAAAATTGCCTCCAACTTAGTTGTCAGTCCGTGTCGTTTGACCATATAGCAGTAAAATTTAAATTCGAAACTGGTAGCATGTTTTTATTTGGTTCGGATTTTTCTAATATTCTTTGATTTAAATGTTCAAAAAAGGGTTCCTGCTTTGGCCTTATCAGTTTTGTGCTGAGCGTGTGCGTGACTTTTTAACGAAGAGCGACAGTGATGTTTTACAAACATCATACTTCCTTGCAATCGAATGTCTTTCTATACCTATAACGTTCCACAAAGGTGTTTGTTTAATTTCAGTGCCATATTTGTTAACTTTTGTTTGTTTCATCATTGAATCTTTTGTTTGTTTTTTCTGATTATATCTCTTCTTGCAACAATTTTCTTGACGTCTACTTCATCAAAATAAACATAGATTTTTTTTAAAACTGCAGGAAAGTTTTTAGAATTGCACATTTTGTGTAGGACTGCAAGTTAAAAAACCTTGGTGAATAATGCTTATCATAATTTCCGTATCTGAAATTAAATGAAGATAGATATCACCTACTTCTGCTTGGACCTAGAGCTAATCAATATGCAAATTAGAGAGGCCCAGATTGACGACAGAAGACATGAGGAGAAGCTACTAGACATCAATCTTGATAAAAAAAATTCAGTTTGAAAAAACACGTCCAAATGCTATGTAAAACAGCAAGTAACAAGCAGTGGTGGCGCCAGAGGGGGGGCAGGGGGGGCTACAGCCCCCCCGTCGGAGGAGGCTAGCCCCTCCGTCGGAAGATAAATTATGCTTGAATTTTTTTTGTCGGAGCGAATTTTTTAAGTTTTGGCGGAAATAGAAATTTCTAAAAGGACTGTTATCAGAATTCAGGAAGCTCATCCCAAAACAACTCATCGACACATCAATTTCATGGTAAATAATAATCTGTTATAAGAAGTTTGAATTGGTTGTTTAGATGTTCAGTACCAGGTGTTTTCCGCATGCTGTTAAATTTGATCTTATGTTATGGATAGTGCAGTTCGTCCAAATCTTGCTTGCTATAACCAACCTACAACATCGGAATATTTTTGTGCGATAGCGATATGGCAACAAATGTTACCCGTTTCAGTGTTAGATGTAGTATATGTAATGACGTATTTAACAATGATTACGCTGCCCGCCACACGAAGTCCAAGCACAAAGATTTGGCTGCAATGGGAAGGACTGCTCCTACGACGGCAATAGTTGAAACGGACTCGCAGCAGAGAAAAATAAAAACATTTTTTCAATCAAAAGGCGGTACTTTTCCAAAGAAACGAAAGGTTAATGATTTTGAAACTGAAAGAACAACAGAAGACACAGATACGAACCCCGGTCGCAGAACAGAAGCTACTGGTTATCTTCTGCAGATTGACAGGAAATTTGTGAGATACCTGTTTGCCATCCGACACGTCTTGAACAAAGCCAAATTTGCGTCTGACATGTTGCAGAAACCCTCCAATGATTTGAGTCAAGCCATTGATCTCATTGCAACATTGAAAGATGAACTGGATGACTGTCAAAGCAGGGATAAGATTCAAGAGTTCTGGGATACTGCCGAAGAAGCAGCGGATCGCTTGGAATTGCCGGAAGAAAAAAGACCACCAAGAAAGAGGGCAACGCCTGCTTCTCTTCGAGAGTTTGTTGTGGAAGCATCTTCAGAGCCTCAAGTAGCAAGCGGGTTTGATGGCTACGTACAAAATGTCAAAGAAATACTAAACAGAACAACTGCAGAACTTTGCAAGCGGTTTGACGAAAAAAACATAAAGATCATGAAAGGCATAACTGCATTGGCCCCCAAGTCGAAAAGCTACTTGGACCCAACAACTCTTGTCAATTTTGCTGAGCTTTTTCAGTCTGAAATTGGTGCACTACGCAGTGAAATTGCCACATTTAAATATATGCTCTCAAGAAAAGAAGAAAAACACCGCCCAAGCACACTTCTGCAACTAGAGGCACACTTGGAAAAGCTAAATGAAGCTTTCTTTGAGCTGCACCGGCTTGTATCCATCGCATGCACTTTGCCAGTCTCTTCAGCCGAATGTGAACGCAGCTTCAGCTCTATGCGCCTCATCAAGAGTGATCTGCGCTCACTTATGAAGGACGAGCGTCTAGACAGTCTGATGATGCTAGGTATTCATCGTGCCCGTGGAAGTGCTCTTGACTTGGACTCAGTAGTAGACAGATTTAAGGCTAAGTTCCCGAAGAGTAGAATTGCTCTGTGAAACAATTTTGATTCTTGGACTTGAATTTTCGATATGTAGAAGTGCGTATTCCACCGCTTAGGTCTGTTCCTATAAAGTTACGTTGTGTTCCAGTTTTCCTTAAGTTCAGTTGGTTGCTTTTTATTTAAATTCATACTTTCCAAAGATAGGCCCTACTTGAATTGGCAACGTTTGATGAGTTGTAAAGATTTAGAGTAGTTTTAAGCTTATCTAGAGGCAGCTTTCAAAAAAAATTTCCAGGGACGCCGGAGAAGGGGGGCGCGGGGGGCAAGCGCCCCTCCTGCCCTTTGCTAGGAGGGGCAAGGGAGGGGGCAAACGTGCCCTTAGTAATATGTCAAAAAACGTAGTAAAAAACACGATTACACCATTTTGATAGCATTTTTAGCCAATCTAATGGGTGTAGCCACCAAAATTTTCCCGGGGGAGTACCCCCGGACCCCCGAATTTTCGGCTCGCAACGCTCGCCTTCGGTCTCCAGTACCCTTACAATTCCTTGTCGCCCCCTAGCCCTATCGTTCTCTAAAAAAATTAGCCCCTCCGTCGGAAGTGCTAGCCCCTTTGTCGGAGGAAACCTAGCGCCACCACTGGTAACAAGCTTCATGCCCTTACTCATAATTTAATTTTCACGGAACCCGAGAAGCTAAAACTGTTGATGAAGACGTTTATGTCTCAGTTTACCTATTGTCCGTTGATTTGGATGTTTCACGATAGTTATTTGAACAATAAGGTATATAGAATTCATGAAAGGTCCTCGAGGGATTCATACAAGGACAATGTTTCTAGTTTTGAAAAATTATTGGAAACTGATAATTATTTGGTAACCATTCTTCAGAAGAAAGTGAAGCTGATCATGGTAGAAATCTACAAACGAAAGTCGAATCTAAATCCTTAATCGATGAAGCAAATATAATAAAGCTTAATAAAGTGAGTACCTTATAACTAAGGTGTTTCAATAAGCTAAAATTAACGAGGGTGAAAGAACTTTTCTTTTAATCGATACGATCAGGTTTGTGGGGAAGATTTTATCGCCATACCTAAAAAACACAGGCTTTCATAAGGTATTGGAAGAAAATTATATGTATTATAAATGAAACATCATGAATAAAATTATTGCTATTGCTAATTGAGGCTCATTCATGTATGTCGAAAGGTTGAAATTTTTTTTAGAGCATGAAGTCTTTGACTGGCTTATAAATTTATACTTTGAATATCAGGGGACCTAGCACTGAGTCTTGTGGAGCACCCAAGAAGGTCTTTTTTCAAGTACTGAATGAACTATCTACTTCCATTCCTTGCGGATTTTCATGCAAAAAGGTTTAGGGTGCCTTTGCTGAATGCCTATGCTTGCTATCAGATCATTATTGGGGCATGCAAAAGCCACGGAAAGATCCATTAGGATTGCTTCAGCATATCGTTCATGCCTAGGGATGATTTGCACTTCTCATTAAGCCTGGTAAATGTTTGCTGTGAATTGTAATCTTTCCAAACGGTACATAGATATTTGGACAAAAAGAGATGTGAGAAAGGGAAAATCTGCTCTTTTATCGTACGTTCATAAAATGTTGACATTGGAAGCAAACCCATGGAGGAGTCCCTGTCGATACCGCATAGACAGATCTTTGATAAATATATTATTTTAGAGTTTTGCGGCTCTTTAGAATTTAACAATATTTTTTAGTAGTTTGCCACCAATATATTTAATGCCACAACCTGAATGTCATATGTTGTCAAAAAGGGGGGGGGAGGGAACTTCATCTCACTGTTTCCGGTGTGCCTGACTGGAAAGATTAGCAAAAGCCTGAAACATGTCTTGATTGAGTAAATCATGTGAACAAGTTTTTCTTTTGAACTGCTCCCATCTTTGCGACGTTTGATTTTTATTCTCTGGGACGTGGGCCAAACTTGGAAGGCCAGGGACCACGCGCCAGTCTAAAAGTGGAAGGGCTAAAATGGGTGTGCCCGAAAAAGTTTTGAGGCCACTCCATCCAGAACGCTGGAAAACGCCCTTTTTAGGAAATATTTGCTTATTTCTTCTTAATTTTTATGAACAGTCTGGTTCAGAGAAGATGTCAATAAAATAGATAAAATTAGCTTCAGGGTAGTGAACACGAAGCTAACCAAGTTAGAAAATACATCATATCATTAAACAAGATGAAACACCTAGAAAATTATAAAAAAGATTCCCAGTTGAAAAGAACTGCTACTACACAGGATTAAACTATCCAAAGCTGCGTTAGAGTAAATCTTCCAAAAGAATTTCTAGCCTATTACTATTACAAAAAAGTGGAGGGCAATAGCCCCTGCTAGCCCAATGGCTGCGCAGTGCCTGGGGGCAAACTCAATCATCACCCAGCGGAGGAGATATTTGCCATAGCGCAAGCGCAGTAGAGATAATAGCCAACCGAGTGACCCAAGCTGGAAGCTTGGTCTTGTGACCTGCAAGCAAAAATCGTTGAAATTTGTCGATCTAAAGAATCTAGGGCTGCAATAACCTTGTTAGAGGGAAGAAGAAATTTCGTTACGTGAATTAGGCTATTATCAGTACCCAAAATGACGTCTTTGTTTCGTTCAGAAGAGATGACTTTATGTCAACTGTTCCTCCAGTCGGAGTCGGCCTACGCCTGTGTCAGTGAACTTGGGGAGTTGGTATGTATATTATGACTCATCCCGTGGTTGATTTACGCTAAATATTGCCCCAGTTCTAGCTCTAAACCAACTCTTTGGAAACATTATTGCCGCTGCCTCTTCTGTTAAGGTTTCTTAAACAAGCTCAAACTGCAACCACTTTGGTGGTGATGGATTCGCCCAGCTAGCAGGGATGTAATGTTATAAAAAGAGTCAGGTGACCTCTCGCCATGCTATGAATACATAAAGGAAGCCTCTGCCCCTCCCAAAACAATTTTAAAAAATGATAACAAGAAGTAGTAAAGGGTTACTTTGGCATGTCTTTACAGCCAACAATTGTATTTATTTTCATTGACTTAAAATATAGTTTCTCCTGCATGTTATGTGATAAACCTGTTCTCACTGCTAAATTCCTATTATTTGGCAGCAAATAAGGCTGGTAAGTTGCCCCTTTTCATGAAAAATCTGAAAAAATCAATTTGGTGACACTATGTTACAATGTTTGCTTTTCATTTGCTGTGAATCACACTTAAAGGGGGCTATTGCAGTTTTGGACCTCTCAGCGTGTGGTTCCATACATAAGGATAGGGTTTAGGTAAGGATCAGTGTCCAAGAGGTGTGAAACTGCATTACGCCAGCCACTTAAAGGCCTTAAGCTCGCTTTTGAAAACAGGCACTGCACCTTAACCTTTAAAATATTTTTGTTAGTTTGAAAATAATTATTGAAAAAATCCACAGTTCTAAATCTGACTGTTGGTTTTGATCCTTTTAATCACAGTTGATATATACTGAACCATGTGCTGTACATTTAATTTGGTAGGCCTTTCAGCTTTTCCCTTTAGTATTTGGGCTAACAAATAGAATCTTACATAACTATTTTTATGGAATAAGGAAATTTTTATCACCACATCAGCATTTGAATGTGTAGTGATAACATCTAAGCCCTTGTTTGCATTGTTTTGTTCCTGCTGTGTTTTTCATGCTACGCTTCACTGCTTGTACATATATACTGCTGTGTTTATTTAGGAAAGTTCAGTTGGTTTGAAAAAAGTAACACCACATACGTCTCTTACTATTGAATTCGTGCTTCAATAATTCACCCTTTTGGACTGTACTTTATTAACAACAGAGGTTGTTAAAATGTTATTAACAAGGTTGTTATAAACATGTCTACATTTGAAGTAGGTAACTCATGATCATTTAGTACGTTTACCCTAAGATTAGCCAATAAGGATTGCAAGTTTCGGCTGGTGTGACCATTTAGCAACATCCCTAAATACCCCTAACCCTTTTCTTGTTGAAATGCTTAGCTGTAGTTCCAGTGTATTAGAAAACAAGATTTAATACATTCCCTGGGCAGGCAGATGCCTATGGATAGGTAGGTCAATAACTTGGCATCATACAGAGCCCTCAAGCACAAATAGATTTTGAGTGTTTGTCTTAAAAAAGAGACCTAATACTTTGAGGCCATTCTGCAGATTTACATGGGTATTTTTTTGCATTAATCACCAGTAATCCAATACAGCACAATCAATGATTATCAGTCTAAGTGTGCTCGAATGCTACACAATTTTTCTTTTGTAAGTGCCACATTTAATATTGCACTCAGACAAGAAATTTGAGTTACTCGATTTCAACAAAGTAATGAACCAGGTCTAATGTTACTTAAAGTGCAATTCAAAAATTTTATGTATATATTTGTCTGATACATTGAATACATTTGCGAGCCACCACTAATACTTCCATTTTTTTACAACGATCCATCCACCACCATCTTATCCAAATCTAGATATTTCTTTTGCAATAACATGCTGAAAATCTGTTTGATTCCATATGACTCTTTGGCTTATAGATGATGTATATATATATATATTATTGCTTTTTTAGGGGCTGGTGGAATTCAGAGATGTAAGTACTGTCTATTGTATCTGTACCTAAAGTATGGCACTTAACACCAGAGTTCTAATGTCTTATTGAATGAATAGAATAAAAAAGGAAACAAATTAAATGGTCATTTTAAAGCCATGTGTTTTGATGAAGCAACATGTGAAGCTGAACATAACAGTAGTGATACTGACAGTGACAAAAGCTCATCAAATGATGGCAACTTACATATCTAGACAAATCTGAACAATTTTGAGACTTTGTTTTATTATATTTCTATATTTTTATTAACATATTGTTTGTTGCATGTTTTGTTATTTCATATAATAGTGCTTTTTGGTATCACCATTGAATTTCCTTTTTAACACTCTTCAGAAGCTTTCGATATGAAGCTCTTGATCTTCCAAAGCTCTCGAAGGATGCTCTCAAGGACATCTTATTTAGAAGTGTGAATTAGAGCGCCCAGAGGGGCTTTTATTATAAAGCCTCTTCCTTCTACTTAGAGCAAAGCCAGATTTATATAAACTCATTGCAAACCCTGTGTTTTAGTAACAATTTATATACAGAACCATAGAATCTGCACTTCTGTAGCAATGATTGATAAGTTTCCATTGCCTAGGGTAACATTGGAAATTCAAACCAGTTACCTAAAGTGTAGGATTAATGAGTAGAAACGTTTTCCATAACAAAAATTCCGGAAGGAAAAGTCTGCATGTAAATTTTATAAATGCAATTATTTTCCTCTTGCAGCTGAACCCTGATGTCAATGCTTTCCAGCGAAAATTCGTGAATGAAGTCAGAAGATGTGATGAAATGGAAAGAAAACTGAGTAAGTTTCAAGAGATATTTTTGATACTGTTATATTCAGAAAATTTATGTAAAGTTTGATTTGATATTTGTTGTATGATAATGTACAGCTCAAAAAGTTTCATTACTTCAACGATTAATGTAAATAAATATTATGTCAACATTTTTCAGGATTTCTTCAAAAGGAGATTGAGAGAGCTGAGATCCCAATTGCTGATACAGGAGAAAACCCTGATGCGCCACATCCAAGAGAAATGATTGACCTTGAGGTATGGATTATTATTTTTCTCTTGCTTGGCATCTACAACATAGTTTAAATTGTAAATATACAAACATTGCATCAGTTGTTCATATTTAAACCCTGTGACAGTAATTTGCATACAACCTAGAAAAAATGTTTTTAAAGTTGAAAGACAAAAAGAAAATCGTCCCGAATTTCATCTAGGAGGTGGGGAATGCATTTCATTAAACTTGATATTCTTACTGGTGCAGATCCAATATTTTAGAGGATCAGTTCAATGCCATTAGTTTTGAAGGATTGTCAATGACCTCCCCAATTTTTTTTACCAAGTCTGATCACAGAATAAGAGTAACCAGAAGAGTCACTCAGCGTTTTGACTGAAGCCTAAGTTAACTTGCGTATGTGTTAATTTACATTCTAACTTGGCATGAAAATGAGAATTAGCATGTAAGTAAGCTTCGTGAAAGTTTAATGTGCATTGGAAAATGTTTAGTCTGCTTACTACAATTGCTACAATAATGTTGTATTTGTCAAAGGAAACTCCCAAAACAGGCTGGGCACCCACAAGTGCGGTAGTACTCGGGAAGTAATTGCTACATAACATACAATATACTTCCCAGTGCTCGACCCTTTGGATGGAGTTTCGGGAATACTTGAATTGTCAGATCATGTCTTACCTCACATCGAATTTATCAAGCAGTCTGAAGTATCTGACAAGAGAACTTGGATAAAGATTTCAAATTGCAAAATCTATTCAGCTCCCTCTAAGTTGTTGTCCATTTTCATGGCCAGTGAATCTGTAAAAACAGTTAACATTCTTTCTCGTAGCAACAAGCATTGTATTGCTCTGATTTTTGAAAACCTATTTTCGCGAAAAATATTGGGAAATCAGCAAGAAAATTCAGTTTCTGGGCCTCTAATTTCTCTCATGGTGTACTCATTTCTCATCGACAAGACTTGTATAATCTTGAGGTGAAAACGAGTTCTAGCATGTATTTTATTGCTGGTGCCAGAGATTCTGAGCTTCAAAAACAGCAAAGGAACCACCTAGAGTGACCCTTCTGGTTCTTCTTATTCTGTGGCTTGATCAAAATTATCCCACTGTTATAAATTTTTGTATATTAATGTATATAATTACATCCAGTGAAAACCAAGTGGATCAGTTCTTCTCTCATTTTAAGTTTGGATTCCCTGCTCACTGCAGCTTGCAAGTTTAACACAGAGATGAGGGTGATCCATTTATTTGCTGTAAATGGCCTGATCTTGTGTATTCTTTTGAGCTTTTCAAAGAAGACAGAGTGTTTTTTCATCAATTTCAGGCACAGTTTGAAGACTTGGAAAATGAAATGAAAGATAGCAATGCTAACTATGAAGCATTGCAAAGAAGTTTCTTAGAGTTGACAGAGCTAAAGCACATCTTGCGAAAAACTCAGACATTTTTTGCTGAGGTATGTACTTGATATTAAAAACTGATAATTATATAACTCAACTTATTTCTAACCAATCTAATCATGAATAATCAGGCTGTGTCGTTTGATTTTTAGTGGATTACACAACATTTTAAATGAGTTGGGGGCACAGTATTTGATAAGTAAAGTGCATATGTTATTTATATTTGGCTTTCAATGGTGGAAGTAGTCAAGTAGTCAAGTAGTCAAGTGACAGTCACAAAGACAGTTTTCAGATATATTCTGTTTCAGTCTGATTAAGTTAACTCAACTGATAAAATGTCTACCTGCTATATATACATCAGTCTGAAGAGTGCCAACTTGATGCAATTTATGCAATATCAATTTTTTTGGTATCTTTGCCTGGCCTGTTATCTGTTAGGCTTAATTCCTGTAAGGCAAATCACCCTAAAGGTCATGGTACAGTTAATCCTGTTTATTAAATTTTTAAAAACTCAAACAATTCATTTGTTCAATGAACTTCCTGTGACAAACAGTATTTCATGGAAGCAAGGGAGGTCTTCAGATATTTGTCTCTCAAAAACAGTGAAAACTAGCCAATAGCCTTCTCAGTTTCAGAATTCTAGATGATTGACTCTGACAGTTCTTGCCAAAACAATTAAGTTGTCAATTGAAGCAAAGAAATTCCATGCAAGACAGTTAACAAATCAATGATCTGGAAAAACCATCAAAACTCTAATCCTTCTTTAATCTTATAGTGTGTGGTAAGGTAGAGGTGAACAATTATCTGTCTTGAAGGACATGGCCTGAATAACCATTTATAATAATAGTTGTATAATATTTAATGATTCAGTCTTTTATATGTGTAACAGCATGTGCTAATTTAGATTTCTTAACAAGTTACTCTTTACCGAAGATTTATTTCAAATTAAGTATTTTTCCCTTTCATTTCTTACTTAACTGTTTAGCTTATTTTTCACATCTGCAGAAGCTTTATTTTGTTAGTAAATTTTTGTCCTTTGATATTTAGGCAAATTTTTAGCTAATTCACACTTCTCTGATAATGAATCATTAAGGTTTTAACCCAAAGAAAAATAGAAAAATTTTTTTACTCAAAGAAGATTTTATTATGTATCTTTTTGGTACTTCTGTTGCCTTCAGGGACTCCCTTTTGCTACCATAGTGGCATGAAATGAAAAGTTAAATTCATATGAGTCAGAACTATACATGTTGGTGCCTGTTAAATTAAAGTAAATTAGATTTTTGAATATGACAGTAGTATGTTTCATATGCTTACTGTGTCAAAAAGCCATAAGAGAATGTGCTAAAGATTTAGTGATCTAGCTTAGTCAGTCCTTTTCGTGAGCAAAATTATGCGTGTGTGGCAAATCGCACATGTAAACAAATTTGCGCGTGCGATCGCACTTGTAAGAAAATTTGAAGTACAAACCTGATAAAATTGGTAAAAGGGGCAAGAAGGAAAAAGCCACTCGAATACGTGCAAGAGCAAAACTCAAAATTAATCAATACATAACAGATGTTGTTGCCCTTAGCAGCCATCTTTTAAAAGTCGTCGTCACTCTCCAAAGTTACAAGAGCAAGTAAAAATTGTTTCCAACAGCTACTTGCTTTCAGGGCCTAATTACGTTGTGACAGGAAATCAGTTATTACACTTAACATGCTAATGGCGACTTAGCTGAAAGACGAGACGCTAAGTTGAATGGAGCACTCAGTCAAAAGCCAAACATCACTTCCGAAAATTGGAAAAATCATATTGTGGTCAAAAGTGCGAATCAAGTAACAAGGGAAAGGATAAACAATCATGAGACCATGGGAAATTGATGTTAAAGGGCCTCTCCAGCAAAAAAAAATTTTTTTTAATGACTTAAAAGTTAGCATCTGGTGCGTGTATTATGACAAAGTCATTGTTTTTGAAAAATTCCAATTAGTTTAGAAGTTGTAAGGCTTTAAAGTTGCACCTTTCCGAGAAAAAAAAACGACAAAAGCCGAATCAGTTTGGTGACATTCTGACGTCACAATGTGCGGCTCTCGTTCGCCATGAATTTCGTATATCTTCCACCGAAGCGTGAAGGACTCATGGTCACGCGTTGATAACTGCATCCAGTTCCAGTTCCTGTTCCAGCTCTTCCCTCGCGTATAATTTATCGAAATTGTCACTTCAGTTGTTCTCCAGAAACGATGAACAACTAAAGGCTTCAGAATTGGTGTCTGAAATGCTCAAACTAAAAGCTGGTGGAACAGAACTGAGAGTACCATCACTTGCAATGTTCAATTTGCGAATCGCCGTCGTTTGATTCGGTTTGAGGCGAGACTATCCGAAATACACTGTGACGTCAAAATTGCGTCACAGTGTCACCAAACCAAAAATTTTTGTCGGTTAATTCAATTAAATTATCGAAATGCAAGAGCTTATATCTCACAAACTGTGAAAAAATATCGAAAAACAAATAACGAATTCGTGATCAGCAGGCTCAACTTCTTTATAAAAATTGCCAATAAAATGCAAGTGCAAAATTTGGCTGGAGAGGCCCTTTAACATAAAACTGCAAAAACACCTGTTTGCGCGTGTGGTCAAAAGCACGCGCAATTTAACTTGCGCGTGTGCAGGCGTGTGCGGGTGCCATCGCACGCGCTAAACGAAAAGGACTGCTTAGTTATTGATAGTTTTTTGTTAAGTGTTTTTGCATTTTGGTTCTTGAAGATAGAGTTGTTGAATAGGCAATGAACCTTGTTAGAATCCCGAATTGTGAAAACTTTGTCTTGGCAGTGCTGTGTTGGACAATTAAAAAAGCTTTTTGGTTGGTTTTGAATCGCTCAAAATAATGCAGCAATAAAAATATCAATATGCCTGTTTACTTTCATTGAAATACAACATATTTACATCTGTAATTATGCCATAACTACTCAGCATTGGTAGTGTACTTAATTAGATTTTAGAGTAAAGCTAAACATAAATATTTTTATAGATTGCACAGAATGAATAAATAAATAAGTAAATAAATAAATAAATAAATAAATGAATAGATAAATAAATAGATAAATAAATAAATAAATAAATATAATTTTTAGATAAAACACCATATCTCATTCCAATCGCTTGAAAATGCTTTTAAATGTTAAGCATTGATGTTTCATTAAACAAAATAATCTCAAATTTTCAGTTTAATTTGCATATAATCATTTTAATCCTTTCATGATATTCAGTCTCTTTTATCAATGTTGAAGTGATATGCTTGGTAAAGCATTTCTTATATTAAACATTAGCTGTTGATAAAAAAAATAATGAAAATTGATAGTCTTGTGTCACCTGTGGTAAAGAACCATAACATCATTTCGTTAATAATCAGCAGCTCGGTATAATCGTTGATGGAATTGTGGTTTACTTTTCCTACATGTATGAAAATCAAATCTAAGGTAACCAGTGAGTAAAAACAAGCAATGCTGCACTGTTAAATGCTAATTTTGAGGTTCGAGAGCATGAAGGAGATAGAACAACGCATGGGTTGAACAGAACAGAACGATAACTTTGTATTAACTTCAAACGGCCTACACACAAAACTGTAATACTGTCAACAGTAATCTGAAACTCTATCTAAACATGGGTCACATGAAGTAATGTTCCTGCGCATAGTCTATTAGGTTACTACAGTTTTTAACTAATTTTGTTACCAATGTTCCATTTTGCGTTCTCTCTTGAATGAGAGGTCAAAGCTTTCCCCTCTGCTACCTCTGAGGGTTTATTTCGTGGTTTCATCCGGCTGGTTTTTTTCAAAGATACGTTAAATGTCAGGGTACTTGAAATGCTTGTTTTAGACGTGGGTGATGTTGTGTCATTTCTTTTTGAAGTTCTTACTCTTACTCATTGCCATTTCTTTGATGTATTTGGTAGGGTCAAAACACAAAATACATGTATATTTGCTTTTAGGGATATGCAACAGTTAAGCATGCATTGTGTTTGTAGATTTGTTTACATTCCTGATCTAGAGTTTCTGGTGATCTGTTCATGAAATGTTCATTTGATAAAATTGTTAGATTGGTAGCATGTTTTTCTTTTATTTCTGAATATTCCCGAAAGTAATGAAAAAAGTTATATGGTAAACTTTATTTCGCAAAACCATTTTTCTCAATAAGATATCTTAAAACCGTTTAGACAGGTTCTTTTAATTACCACCAATAAATTTTCATTGTATAATTAGACTAAATTTACGTTTTACCACCTTTTAAAATTAAATATAAAATTTTTACAACTTTTTTGTTGTTGATAAAGTAAGAAAAATTAAATCTTTAAAATTCATGAATTTGGCAAATGCTCGTGAGTACATTTAAAAATAAAACTTTGCATTGGCTGATAATTTGCTTTATGATAAACAAGGCTTTAAACTCATCTGCGTTGTATGTCAACACAGGCCGAACAACATGTCCAACATCAGCACATTGGCGATGGCGCTCATAACGCAACCGAAGAAATGACCTTACTAGGTGAATCAGAGCTAGCTGCTACGACTGCAGCTGGTCGTTTAGGGTGAGTTTATAGTCTGTCATTGGGTGCTCATTAATAGCTTTCACGTTACATTATCAATAGGAAATATATGGTGAGACTCAAGGTATTCTGGCAGAAGAGCCCGGTGCCTCTGGGGCCCAGCTCGGGTAAGTCCTAATAATGGTTACATTTTTTATTTGCGTAACCATTTTCTCAGCTTCATAAATACCTCTTTTCTTGCCACCGAAGTAATATTGTCAGTTATGAAGGCAGCAGCCTGTGTTTTGTACGTCGTCATCAAACATTATTGCTCTTCTGCGTCTTTGGTAGTTTTGAATTTTCTACGTTAAAAATTTAGCATATCTCAAAATACAGACCAATTTCGTTGTTCTAAGCATATAACGTTGTATTTTTTCAACTTTATATCACTGATCTTAGTTAATTCTCATGGTGAAAATTGGATTTTTTTCAGTGTAATATTATTATATGTTATTAGGCATACAGTTAGGTATATTTTTCTTAACTAAGTTGTTACTTTATTTTTGTTGCGTTTTTCAGCAGGTCTAAAATCTTAGCCCATTATACGATTGGTTATGATACTGAAGTTTCAACTTCTTGTATACTTCATTCTTCTTACAGGTTTTTTATTATGTTGATTTGTTCAACCTTACTGACAGTTATGTTAAAAAATAAATGAATATATATATATATTTTCCTATATATATTTAACCTTAAATTCGCAGATTCGTTGCTGGTGTCATTGCACGAGAGCGTGTCCCGGCATTTGAAAGGCTGTTGTGGCGTGCTTGCAGAGGTAACGTATTTTTCAAGCAAGCGGAGATTGAAGAGGCTTTGGAAGACCCAGGGACAGGCGATGAAGTGCACAAATGTGTGTTTATTGTTTTCTTCCAAGGAGATCAGCTTAAGATGCGTGTGAAGAAGATTTGTGAAGGGTATGCAGCAATTTTTGTTATTCATGTACTCAGCATAATTTTTATTTACTAGAGACTGTAAAGAAATTTTAGTATTTAGATGTATTTAAAGTAGTATTAAAGTATTTACAAGGGAAACTGTATTTCCACCAATGGCAGGTTTAGTATATGGATAACAGATTGCTCAATCACCGCCTTAGGACTGGTATTTCGAAAGTTATGAGCCATGTCTGCCTGTACGTATATCACTTTCCCTCTTCATCTTTGGTTCTAGGTTTCGAGCCACACTTTATCCTTGTCCGGAGTCACCAGCGGAAAGAAGAGAAATGGCAATTGGTGTTATGACAAGAATTAATGATCTTCAAACGGTAAGCCTTTGTTCAGAAAGTTCCATCTTACAAAATTACCACTGCAGGCACTTCTATCCAATTTTTTTTATTTATACAACAATTGCACTACATTTAATCGTTTGCCGTTCTCTGTTCTCAGGTGTTGACGCAAACATTCGACCATCGCCATAGGCTTTTGCAAACAATGGCAAAGAATATGAATGTTTGGTTCATTAAGGTAATGGCTGTTTGCTTGGTACTTTCCTAATAACAACAAAAAAGTAACAAAAATAATTGCTTTGTTCTTTTCTAAAACAACAGAAAAATACCAACTTCTTCGAAAACGGCTCTATGCCGTGTATTTGTTTTCATTCCTTTGCTGCTCTCCGTAATTATTTGGAGCAAATTCTTGAAAAATTTTATGAAAATAATTTTCCTAATCATCCAGTCATTAATATTTTGAAATCGTAGGTGAAGAAGATCAAGTCAATTTACCATACGATGAACATGTTCAACTTGGATGTGACTCAGAAATGCTTGATTGCTGAATGTTGGTGTCCAGTTGATGATCTTGATAAGATCCAATTGGCCATTAAAAGAGGAACGGTAAGCCTGATTATACAAGGGTTTTTAAACTGGTAATGCATCATATTCACCTCTTTTATTTGTTCATTCCCTATTCATCAGACTTGCCTCCAAACCGAAAGCTATAGAGTTTACCTTTGTTTCTTGTGAAATGTTTGGCGAGGACTTCTCCTAGAACCATTCAGCACTTGCTAAAACATTATGGTTAGCGGTGCTTTAAGGTTCAATCAACGTAGGTAATATAATCAATTGACATTCGCTACATATATTTCGCCTGTGGCTTTTGAAAGTCGGTCAAAGAATTGCTGTTTGCAATATGATGCATTCATGTGTAATGAGCAGTGAAACTGCTCCATGCCCATCTGGCAGTTATTCGGAAGGGTTTCCTGGGTGTACGAAACTTAATAGGAAAAGTTACAAAGAGAGCCTTCATATCAGTGACTGTAACATTGTGAGGCCATTTAAGTGGACTCAAAGGAAGATACAAGTGAAAGTTATTACTTTTCAGTATATCAACGAGATAAAAAATCATATTGCAAGGTCATGCTATGAACAGTTATTGTATTAAAAAAGATCTATTTCTCAACATAGGAGCGAAGTGGCTCTTCAGTCCCCTCCATATTAAACCGAATGCACACCAAGCACGAACCACCAACATTCAATCGTGTGAACAAGTTTACCTCTGGTTTCCAAGCAATTGTTGATGCATATGGTGTGGCTAATTACCAAGAGGTGAATCCAGGTATGAATTTTGCGTTGTATAACCTTTAGTTTTGTTAGACGTGTTTTTCTTAGTGAATTCTTCGCTAACGGACGTTCTCCATGAACGGACAATTTATATTAGCGGACATTTTAAAAGCAACGGACAGAAGTTGAGTCCACCAATTTGAATAGCCTGACACTTCCTTACATTAGACAGAAACCTTGGTCAAAACCTATATCACTTTTTTGCTGCATCTTTCTTTTTCTAGGATATATCGGCTCTTTACATTATCGACTTTCTTTTTTTACACAGGATCGATTGTTCATTTAAAAACGTGTTTCTTTTAAACTCCACAGCTAGCACTTGCAAATCGACCTGTAACTACAGTTCAGATATAGGCATTTTCATTTGTACAGTAATAACTAGCAAAATTGTGGCACCCTTTATTACTTTTTTTCATGAACAGTAACGCAAAGCGATGGTAACCATATTGTTGTGAAATTGGTTGCCTTTACATTTTGAATTGCTGTTTTATCTTTCTTAAAAGGCTGTTAGAACAATAGATTTGTTGAACGTGGCCATTTCTTTAACATAGTGGCAATTCATTCTCATTTTAAATAATAGGGATAAAGCAAAAACGATTTATTATATTCAAGCATTCTGAGAACAGTAATTATAGTTAAATGTATTATAGTTATATATGTATAAATATATATTGGCTAAAATAAACAGACTATTGTGACACAACACCGAGTTTCAAGTGTAAACGATCATCCTTGTTTACACATGAAACTCAGAGTTGTGTCACAACAGTCTGTTTATTTTAGCCTATCTAATCGCCCCGATCAGTTAGACAGCAATATGATAACTACTATAATATATAAATATAGATAAATATATATATATATTGATATTTTGCAGCACTGTTCACTGTCATCACATTTCCATTCCTATTTTCTGTCATGTTCGGTGATTGCGGACACGGCCTTATCATGTTGGTTTTTGCACTTTGGCTGGTTCTGAACGAGAAGAAGCTAGCTAGCTTCAAGGAAGGCGGAGAGGTATATTTTAGCCACTTATTGTTACCAAAGATAAGCAAACGGTGCGGATAAACAGTCCCTTCGCCGGTGTCATCACAGTCTCTGCCGTTAATGGCGTGAGATTACACATGCGTACGTCCACATGCTCCTGTTGCTTCAGGAGTGCGATTTATCATGCGTCACAAAGTTTGATTTTTGCTAAATTTGTGCTCTTCAGTTTATGTTTTTGTAATTTTATTCAAGCAAGTTAAATTATATCAGCGGAAACGTGGTTTAAGCGCACACGTATAAATGTAGGGAAAAGTTTTTTGAAGTCGGTAAAGTTGAAATATTAAATTCTGTTTCTTTCTTTAATAAGTATTGAAAGTTCTTCTTATTTGTTCAACTGTATTTTTTTGATATTGTTCCATTTTCAGTTTTTTTTATTTCCTGATGTTTATTTTGCAGATGTTTGATACCATCTTCGCTGGCAGGTACATAGTCATGTTGATGGGCCTCTTTTCAATCTACTCTGGTCTTATATACAATGATTGCTTCTCAAAATCGCTCAATATTTTTGGGACCGGATGGGCTGAGTTTGGCAACAACGAGCTTTACAGGTACGAAAAGAGAATTTTCTCCCAATGTCAATCGTGTTTGATAAATCTTGACTTACCAAGAATTATGCAACATGAATGAACGTAACACAAGATATCATCTAGTGACGTAACGCAGTTCGATAGCTAAGGGCCCCCGACCAATAATGGGGCCCCGACATTATTCGCTTACCCATGTTTTCAAGACTTCGCTGAAATTCTCCTCATTTTCTAAAACTTTTAAAGTTCTTCAACTGATTCTTCTGTAAGTCACCTTTCCCTAGTTAGCGAGAAAATATTATCATTTTTGCATCTTGTTGTTGTGTTTCACATGCTTTACAGCGTTGGATGGCACTTTCTTGCAGACCGTCTCAGGTTTTTCTTAGGGTCCCAGATGCCTCCGTTACGCTATCCGTTTCGCCACTGATATCATCCTAGTAATCCAACGTTCTTTATTTTTTTAATTGTTGACGGTCCTATCCGGACAATGCCTTGATTGAACGCTCGAAATTTTGCTACTCTTCTCTTATGGTTATTTGTGTACTAGCTTCATATTCTATTTCACATGAATTGTTTTGATTTTCACCCAAAGTTTGAAGTATTTGGAACATCAGGTGGAGTTAAAAGTCCCAAATTTGATTTTGGATCCAAAAAATGTCACTCGCGATGTACCATATTACTTTGGCATTGACCCGGTGTGTACCTTATCGTTTTATACTGCAGATATATTTGAATACGGTAATATGAAAAGTAATTCATTGAATGCTTTAATCCCATTGAATAGATTCGAAAGGGGTTCCATTCTTGGCAAGTTAGCATGCTAAGTATGGTTGTCTGTAATCTAAATTAGTATAGAACAAAGCTTGGTTTACTGTTTGTAGTTTTTCATTTATTATTGCATCACCCTTGTTTGTTTTCGCATTTTTTGCTATTAAGAAACACCTTTTATTATATCAAAAAAGAGTAGAAAAGCTATATCTTGAGATATAAGAAAAGATATTAAGTCTAGAAAGGTTCTGATTGTTCCGGAAGTATGTCTCTCTAAATTCCTTATTCAGCTGTCTCGTAATATTAAAATCTCAAATAAAATTTCCATTCCTAAAGGCATGGCAGCTCGCAACCAACAAACTCAACTTCCTGAACTCCTTCAAAATGAAGCTCTCTATCATTTTTGGTGTGATTCACATGACATTTGGTGTTGTCCTCAGCCTTTACAATCACAAGTAAGCATGCTTTTCGCCATTATCGCCATCATTGGATTGCTCTTTGCCGCACCAATATATTGTTTGTCCATGTGGGCCAGTCAATCAAACCCATTAGCCAAACTTTCCCTATTTTAGGACTATGTAATATTATAAGTATATTAGCATCAACTTTGATATTAACATTTTAACATCTATATTTAAAAGATTCCAAAATTTTCTTTTTAGACACTTTAATAAGCCTGTGAATATCTTTTGCGAATTCATACCACAAGTAAGTACTAGTCAAAGTCATATAGACTTATTCTTTGGAATGAATACGGCATTCATGTTTTAAGGAATGGTTTAATAACAGCTGTAAATATCTATAAAGTCTCCTACCTGATGTTTTGAAAATTTCAAGAGCCAGTTTGCTTATTTTGCCTCCAACCCCGGTTCTCTCTAAAATGATAAAAATTTGTTCAGAAAGTTATTTTTTCCATGGGAAGTGTTTGATTCATATTATTTCTCATAATTTCAATTTTAGAGTACATTTCAAAGGGGGAATCTTATGTTATATCAAAGGATTTATTCTCCTATGTTAAACACGGCCAAAGTCTCTCCATATAGTATTCATCTTGTTTCCTCCGTTGAGCGTCACATTTTGTTTAGGTTTTGTTCTTGATGTGCATCTTTGGCTATTTGGTTATCATGATTTTCTACAAATGGATTGCTTACAACACACACAGCAAGAATGTAAGTGTAATATCCTAATATACTGCTTTACTTCAATCTAAAATTTGAATTTCAAGAACCTGTCCTTTGTGGGGAGACCTTGTCTATAGCGAAACATGTAATTCTCTTTATTTTATAATATTGGCACAATGGAAAGCATGAATAGTACAATTGTTGTGAATTTCTCGTGATTGTATGTACTCGATGACCGCATTAACTTGAAACAGGGATTAGCAACCTAGGACCGTGTTGTTCTGTATAGCACAGCGTTGCACAGCTATTTCTATACGACATCAATCACTCTGTAACAGACCAATTACAAGTTTTCTCGATTGCGTGTGCACTGTTATATTTCTGGTGCATTTATTTGTACGTTCGAAGCACAAATTTTTGAAAAAAATAGGTAAAGACAAAGCTAATTTTTGTATCTCCAACGTCTTTAGTGCGAAAAATCCAAGGGCTTCTACATTATAAAGAAAACCAATTTTTTTAAACTTTCTGAAAAAGCAAACTTTGGAAATTTCTACCAAGCCAAAGCCCTCTGTTGAAGCGTCGAAGCTAGCTGCGTTGTTAAAGAGTTGCTTGCAACATACCCCTTTAGTTTTTTTCAGCTAACGACTCATAGCCATATTGCCTACTTTTAGCTGCCAAGCTTGCTGCTAGCATTAATTGGAATGTTCCTGAACTTTGGGAAGGCCATCAAGCCAGAAGACCAGCTCTACGCGGGACAGGTATTTCAGTGTCATAACAACTTTCACTTTGGAGTTTATTATCCTTCTTTTTCTTCCACAAACCTACTCAACTTGTGCTATTCTTCTTCACGATTATTTTTTACCAAAGTCGCTTCTTTAACAGACTTTCTTCTTTTGATCTCATTCGTTCTTTCTTTTGTTCCTAGCAATCAGTCCAAACTCTCCTCGTCATTGTGGCAGTTTTGTGCATTCCGTGGATGTTGGCTGTCAAGCCATTTTACTTGCGCCACAAAGCAAAGAGCAGTGCGGTAAGGATCTTTGCACCCTATTTTCAAATCGCTATAATCGTAACTCTTGTGGGAAAAGTGGCCTTATGATAATTTACTATTGACTTTTTTCAATTAACTTTTGGAAGGTGTCCTATCACTCCTGTAATGTCCATTCCTTTCATTATTTGCTTTCAAGTTACGTTTAGCTATCATCCAGGCTTTTTATTTTCAAATTTGTAGCTTCAAGGGTGTCCAGTTTCTCTTTTGTTGTTAAACCTCGACTGTGGGTGATAACAAGACGGGCCCCTAAATTTTTGCAACTAGCAAACCGAAACATTGTGTCTTACTTGTTTATTTTGATTGTCAAATGACAGTTCTTTCAGCTGAAAATAGCCCTACGTATTATTTAACAGAGCTTCAAAAAGATAGAGAGCAATGCACCAGTATCTACAAACAATGGGGACCAGAGCCACCATAACGAAGATGAGTTAATCCATCATGACGACCAACATCTCATTGCTGAAGATGATGAGGAAGAGGAGGTAATTGAAAAAAACTTTTCTTTCATTTTATTGTCGCTTTATTTCAGCTCATTCCAGGAGTGATTCAAACTAAAAATCAAGATATTCTACAACACGCTGTTTATACATTCATTTACGTGGAATGCAGGGCCGGAAAAACCGGGGCCATGCCCCCCCCCCACTTTTCTGCAGAGCTAAAGAAAAATTTTAGGCAAAAGTGAAAATAAATGTAGTATATGATTCTGTAAGTAACTTTGCCTAGTATTCTCTTAAATGTGTCCTTAGCTTTACCTTGATTGCTATGTCTTTACCATAGAAGACATACATAAAATTGAATATGGAAATTAGGTCGAAGAAATCGGCCATTGTGTAAGTTTTACAACGAGTGACAGCTTGGTTTAGCAAATTGATCGAGAAATCTAGTCCTGAATAACTTGGTGCCAGCACAAATTGAAGGAATTTCGTTTTTTCCATTGCCTAAACTTGGCACACAGGGTCTATTTGTTAACAAAAACTTTCTCAGAAACATTACAAAAAAGAGAAAAAGCAGCTGTTGCAGGAAAAGAAACAGCTGGAAAGAACTTTTTTGAGGATATGGGAAATAAAGTATGGACAGATTTGTTCTTAAAAAGTATCATCAAGAAAACTTCAGAGTTTGATCATTTCGATAATCCATTCCTACTAAGAAAGAGAAAATATCGACGCAATTATAAATTCTATTTTAATAATTTTTGTTAAAGCACTTAATTTCGGATAAAGTTAAGATAAGATGTTACAAAGTTATATCTTAACTGTACAAAGTTACTTTTTATTTTTAGTTGATAGTTCTTCTGTTGATTTTTCAACGTTAATGTTTTTTATTAATCCGTGTTTCATTTATTTTTCTCCCCCATCTTATTTCTGCTATTTTCTAAAATCTAAGAAAAGGTCTCATTACGCGCTATATGATAGTGGTTATTCTAAAACTTTGTAAATTTTTTTATATTCAAGTCAACATCACAATAGCCGCGACTATGCGACACCTTCAGTTAAAATTCATTTTAGATACAGTTTCTGGCCATCCCTAAGACACCATAATTCTAAAAATTTTCTTGCCGCCAACCATGGTGGCAGCCTTTCCTAAACCCTTTCAAAACTTTGATATTTTGGCTCCTCCAGTTTTAAATTGCCACGAAGTAGCCTAGGTAGTATTATAACTGAAGCTTTTAGCTTTAAAATTTGTCTTACTGTGCAATCCCAGAAATTATGTCTTATTTTGCAATCCTAGGTTGCTAATCCCCGTTTCAAGTTTAATGCGGTCATCAGGCACATACAATCATAAGAAATTTACGAAAAATGTCTTTAGTACTTAAAGGTTTTAGAATTGTCCTATTAGTTGTTCTATTTATAATCGAATCAAAGTTGTTTTATTTATCCAGCACTCCAATATGCTCTCTTTCTAAATCGAAGTATGACGAAGACAGATTTTTAGCACAGTTTGTCAGGGATTGTTTGAGGCAGTAGAGCACCTTTCAGGTTCCTCTTGATTAAGTTGATATTGACCTTACTGGGAGAAGGATACACGAATAGGCTAGATAGTGTTGAATTTTCTTGTTAAATTGGTTATTTTATGTATGAATCTGTCTTTACCATGATGATTTACTCACGCCTTGAATTCATTGCTGCTAACTTTTTTCTTTTGCATAGTAACAAAGAGGATTTCTATTTTTACTATAGTTTGATTTCGGTGAAGTATTTGTTCATCAGGCAATTCATACCATTGAGTACTGCCTCGGGTGCATCTCAAACACTGCCTCGTACTTGCGTCTCTGGGCTCTTAGTCTTGCACATGCCCGTAAGTTTAAACCCTACTGTTTCTTAGCAATATTTAAGTTTTGAGTAGTGATACATCAATGTTTTTTGCTATGCTTTGTTTAGATTAATTGGTATGTGTATAATAGATTTAAGTTTCTTTTTCAGTGATATGTGTCTCGGTCAGTGGCGTAACGTTGTTTAGGGCACCTAAGTTCCCTAAATGGGCCCTAAAGATTATTTTCATATCCATGTCTTTAATACTTCGCTCAAGTGTACCTCATTTTCTAAAACTTTTAAAGTTCTCTTTCTGGCTGTCCGTGATTAGGGGTCCTGTCTCATTTTTCCTTAGGGTCACAGGTGCATCCGTTACGCCACTGGTCTCAGTGCTCGTAATCAGATGTCATAAAATTTGCTTATTTGTGTTGCATCAGTTTCTGACTCTTCATGCTCTTTTCACAATGTTGGTAAAGGCAAATATCACTGTTTAAGTACAAACTAAAAGAGTTTGTGGTTTTAGATCTGTGACACTGCCGTTAATAGATTAAAGGCCAGTAGGTCCTTGTGAATTTTTCGGTGTACAGTATAATCCATGTCCCTCATTATATTTGATCAATTTGCAGAATTGTCCGAGGTGCTGTGGAACATGGTCTTCCAGATGTCGCTTAAAAGAACAGGGGCCATTGGCTTTATTGCAATTTTTGCCCTGTTTGGTGCATGGGCTGGTAAGTGTCTTCTTTCATCCATACTGCCAGGCATATCGTTGCAACATATTTCCAATTTCTTGCCTTCTGCCTCTGCAGTCATCTGCTTTCTGATACAGTGAACATTTTGTAGTATCTTTACAGTTTTTGCACACAGAAGAATTTCATAGAATCTGGGTTTTCTGAGTTGCGTTTTAGCAGCGTTTTAGATACTTCGGAACCTCTTCAAATTGCAACACAAGAACATCGTGGTTAGTTTCAAGACCAGATATATCTTGACAATGTCTTGGTAGTTTCATTGTGTGTTTTCCGATATTGTACTTAACTGGCCTTACCAGGAGATCTGTAGAAGGTACTTAACTGGTCGCCTTCTTTCGGCCTGTTCTTTCGGTTCCAAATATAGCCCCAGAAAACAAAATTAGACTAAAGATGTTGAGAATTTTTTCTGCCTGAGCTTCGACTGACAATGCCCTGAACATCTGTTAAAAATATTATCATCAACTTTTCTTATTTCAGTTTTGACAATTGCAATTCTCCTTGTCATGGAAGGCTTGTCTGCTTTCCTCCATACTTTGCGTTTGCACTGGTAAGTTGAGCCCTTTAGTTTGTAGTTTGTCACCCTTTTTCAACGTAAGAAAGGCTAGATCCGCTTTTGTACATCTGAGAGTAGTATCATAGGATTTTACAATGTTTTACAGTAAATTTTGCATAAGCTTTGTTGATTTGGTTTGATGTTATTTTTCGCTCAAGATATTTGGTTATGAATAGCCCTTAAACGGATTTAAATTCAAACCCTCTTCAGTGATAATTTTTGCAGGCCTCTGCAATCTTGATTTTCAGCTCCTTTATTTCTATTGGCGAACGGACTCTTTGACAAAGAATTGCTGTAAAGAAACCGCCATTTAGAACCAACATGATTTCAATTTTCTTCCTTTTAAGCCCTCGCAACGGGCAATAAATGCAAGGAAAATTGTCGAATCATCCATTAAGACATTGAAACGTAATAATTACAACAAACACTTTACCAGGGCAAAGAATCACTTTTGAATTTCGAATCTTTGCATTTTAATATCACAGTCGGTTCTCCATATAAAAGGAAAGTCTACCACTGATTTGGTCCCCTCATTATCATTATTGCAATTTTTTGGCTTTATTTTATGCTCGCATTTCTATTAACCGAAGTTTTTATACATTTTACAGGGTGGAATTCATGAACAAATTCTACACTGGACTTGGGCATAAGTTTCAGCCGTTCTCGTTCAAATTGATTCTCTCTGGCGAGGTTGAAATCTAGACATCCTAAAGAAGCCTTGTATTGATTATGGATTGAAAATTTAGAGCCAATCTTGCTTTCTCCATTTACTGAGACCATTTTTCTTTAAAATCAATCAAAGGAGCTGCACTTAAATGATTTGAACGTTGGCATATTCATTATGCTGCTAAAAATGTTGCCAGCTGCGCTATTAGGTTTTTTCATCAACAGTACTTACTGGTTAATTGCGTAACCAATGCCTGTTCTTTGATTCAGATAAAACAAACCGAAGCAAAATATAACCCTGATCATCTTCCTCTGTGCTAAAACCTTCCACTAATAGTGATGTTTCTTTTATGAATACACGCCAACTATTACTATCCCATCCTTCTTCCCACAGCATGCTCTGATTTAGAAAAAATGGTTTTTGACATTTTCACCTTTTTTTGTCGGTTTATGTTCAGTTTTGAAATTAGAATGAAATCATCAGCTCTGTTGAAAAGTATAATGAATCAGTTTTCTTGTTGTTTGTTAATCTTCATTTATCCATAGTATGATTTTGAAAGTTATGAAATTTAGTTTGCATATAACTCCTTTCGATAGAGGCTCATATGTATTTCCTCCAGTGAACATTTTCAAACTGCAATTAAAAAAATCAAAAAAGATTGTGGATTAGTAATACTGTTGAAAATAGAAAAAGGAAAGCGTTATTGATTCATAATGGTTTTGGTGGTTTCAAAGTTTGAAGGGATTACCGGAAACTTTTGGAAAACTGCTATTCCTCAGTCCAAAATACATGTTCTAGAACGCCTATTCAAAAATTACAAGGATCAGTTTAGTCAATCCAACCTGAAATTCACATTTGAAAGATATTTCTGCTGGCAAATAATCACCACGATCAACATTGTTATGATCAATCTTTATTATCATTATTGAAGCACTTTCAGTACTTCTAACATCCCAAATCTGCCGTCGACGAACTTGATAGCAGTATCTTCACCGGCAGATTTCATGCTAAAGCAGTTGCAAGGCAGGCTCATGCAGAAATTGACGTTTAGTTACTTGAGATTAAAACCACTTTGTCTGTTATGAAACTTATCCAAACCAGATGGTTATTAGCTTTGTATGAAAATGATAGAGATATTGACAGTGTTTGATCAAAGAGGAGTAGCTGATTGTTTGTGGTACATCCAGTATGACATAGAACATCCATAGACTTTGTTGGCGATTATAAAAATGATGCTAGATTGAAGATATGTATTAGATAAACGACTCACTGCTTAATGTTGTCCGAAATCCGAATCCCTATTTTAACCATGTCTAAATTTTGTCCAAAAGGTTTTCAAAATTTTCTGAAACATAGAATTACTCTTCCAAAATTATATAACGTTAGAACTAACTGCACTCATGTTTTTATTAGAAACAACGATCGAGATTAAGTACATAAACACCTGTGCATAAGAAGCTAGAATTTTGCAAGTCAGCCTAACTAGGTTCTTACATTTTGGATACTTCGTGGGAAATAAGGCTGTATATGCTCTTAAATCGGTTCTTTTTTGATGCAGGGCTTTAGCAATTCAAACTTCAAGCATTTTGACGTGTTTTGTAGTGCCAAAGATCTTGAAATTCTAGCGGATTACAAACTTATTAGTTAAAGTGCCATTACCCACAGAAGGCTTTTGAGAAAAAAGAGTCCACCGAAGACTAGAATCGAAATAAAATATGAACAGTACAGTATTAAAGATTGGAAATTGAACCATATTGAAATACTATTACAATGGCATAGCAACTAGAATCTTGATTTAATTTGGTGACCCGTACAATTTCAGATTCTTAATTTCACTTGCATCAATTTAAAATTTTGTTTAATTGTAAACGGTTGGGGAAAGTTTTATTTTAAATTCTGGCGTTTTATTTGCTTTCGTCCAAAGCCTCGTGACAACCAGTCAATCACAGTGATGGAAAATGATAAAGTTTTGGACTTTTGCTTTTTCAAATTCAAACGATTACAAATTTTTTTGCTTCGGGCACTTAAGTTTCTACAATTTTATAACCAATTTATTATGTACAAAATATGCCTAATCTTGTCAGAATTTCGCGGGAAAATCCGCCTCGTATGCGTATTTCAATACGAGGCCTTATGGGCCTTAGGTATAAAAATCAATAGGACGATTCACGTAGGTGGTATTTGGTTTTGCAAAAAAAATGAACAGGATCAGGACCTCAGTTAAGATAGGATTAAAGTAAGTCTGAAAAAAGTTATTTCGCAACAAAAATTTGCTAACATGCTTGATAAGTTTAAAATAATGATAATGTTTTGTTGAAGTAAAGACATGGAGACTTCTCTTAACTTGGTGAGCTTATCGATTGACCCGACAAAAGATTTACCTCATGACTTGATTAACATAACATGTTTAGCTTCTTGGGGGTAGTTTTCTGTTTCATATTGTATACAGTTGAGCATAAGTACCAATGCCGTTAAACATGTTTGAATCGAGCAATGTAAACAGATAAGAGAAATGACTTTAAGAATAGTATTTCTGAGATCCAAGCACGATAAACCCTTGTTTAAAGTGAATGAGATTTTGACAAGATTTTTCAATACAAATATTTGATGCAATATTTAGGCTGTTTCTAGCTGATTTATGAAGGACTTGTTAATTCTCTTTACCTATTTATCAAAACAGATGACTGCACTAAACAAGTAAGGCCAATTTCATTGAGAACCTAGGTGTGTAAGATGGTTCTTATTTCTTCATACGCATATTTAATTTGCTCATTGAAACTTAGGTTAGCAAGTATAGTTCTTTTGATACAGCCACATATATTCCAGATTCAAACATTGCACTTTTTAAAATCATTCATATTAAAAATGATAACAAATTCTGTTCACATCTTTTAGCTCTTTGCATAAAAATCTTGTAGTTGCCCTTTCATAAAATTCTTAAGATATCAAATTACAATAATTTAAAAAAAAGATTGTTTTAAAAGAAGATTTCTACACTTTAGATATCCAAACTAGGAATATTTTACACTCTAGTCAAGGGAGATCCTTTGATCGTGGATAAAGTCTCCAGATATTATATTTTTGTAGATTGTATATACTTAATAGAAGTATTTATATACTTGACAACTTTGAAGGATCTGTCCCTGTGTGGTTCACATCATTAGGTATCTGTGTGATCACACCACTGTTTAGCTTTAGCTGCCAGCCTCACTTGGTTGATGACAACCCTTCTTAAAGATAATTAAAAATGCTTCAACCTTACCTTTTTGAAATTCTGATGAATTGTTGTGGAAATGGTCAGTTGAAATTTTGGGCACAGTTGCTAAAGGGGCCAAGGAGCTATACCCCAAGCACCAAATGTGTCAGAGAATTTCAAACTTTCTAATAATTTGTCAAAATCTGCTGGAAAATATTTTCTCTAGCTCTCCCTAAAATTGAGCTCCCATTGCACCCCTGGTTGAAACTTTGCTTAGAAAGTCAGGTTTGCTAGGTCTCTTGAAACTATGTTAAAAAGTGTTAGATAAAAATTGAATATTTCGGTCACTTGTGCAATCCTTTACCCTAGTTAATACCAATAATAATACTTAAATTGATAATGACATCACAAATAGACTATTGGGCTGTGCAACAGTTTCTGGACTAGGTTCATGTCCATTCTTGTTTGCTTATCTTGAGGAAAGTTTTGAAAAAGTTTACATGACATGTAAAAGTAAGACAAGTAAAAATTCCTCCTTCATGTCATGGTTTCCTCAGGGGTAATTGCTATATTAGAAAATGGAAACACTAGATGGACCTGAACATAGTTTACTTATGAAATTTCAGAGGAAATTAGAACACATTAACAATGCAACTTCAGAGGGCTTCCACAAGTGTCACAGGTTGATGCTTTCAAAGGCTTCTGTAGATTTATGTTATGCATACTCTTGTCTCTTTTAGTTCTTTTCAAGTTTTAAAAAGAGGTTTTAAGAAATGTCTGCCAAGATATGGCTACAGTGTTATCATGAAGCCAGGTTATATACATCCTGGGCATGCAGTACCAATTTCACTTGACAAGCCACCTTATGCAGAAACTGGAGTTGTGCCACCTTCGTTTGAGAGGATAAAGCCAAAGACAGAGGAAGAAATTCAGTTGATGAGGGATTCTTGTGAAGTAACCAGAAAACTTTTATGGACATTGAAGCACAGAATTAAGGTGATTGCCACAATTCATGTTTTGTAAACATTAGATAAAGCAGCATAATATGTTCTATTGAAATCAAGTCTTATGTGTTGCTATCTGAAACCTTTTTTACTACTGTCCTTTATTTTGAAATTTGGTTTAACTGTTCAAAAACTTTTGCAACAGAAGATGAGAATCTTGAAATTTTTGGTAAGTACTGTTAACAACAGAATGACCCTGTGAATCATTCAACACCAACTTGATCATGAAATTTCACCAATAAAATGATGACCATGGTGTATGCAAGGTTTTATATGATCTTTAAAATCTAAAACTTTTATTTTCGTTAGTGTGGCAGTTACTTTCTATTTTTAGCCAGGTATTACCACAGAAAAGCTAGATTTTCTTCTTCATTGGCTTTGCCTCAAATTTGATGTTTATCCATCTCCAAGAAATTATAAAGGATTTCCAAAAGACCTTTGTACCTCAGTCAACAATGTTGCCTGTCATGGCATCCCTGATGAGTAAGTTCCTAATTTTTCTTGAAGAATCCATATTGTAATTTTGTTGTTATACTTTTGCCTATATTGTGTGCACTTTTTGAATTTTCTTTGTGCAATGATGATTCAGAGAATGATTCAATTATTCACTGGATTCAAGGAGATAACTTTGGTGAAGTTTGTCCTGTACTGTTGATAGGGTAGCCATGCATTTCTGGTGTCAGAGTCTTGAGAAGGGTCTGCAAAAAGTTTTGCAAAATGCAGCACATTTTTAAAACAAGCTGTTTGTTTGATGCTCAATTGCTAAATCTTCTAAGGACTTGTTTGTTTGCAAATTTATTCTATTGTTTGGCATTTGATTTATTGTTTTATCTACCTTGCCCCTACACCACTGCTCCTGCACAAGGGTCCATGTTGTTTACAGCCCATGGGCCAAAGCTGGCTCTTGATGTTACATTTGTTGTAAGTGATCTACATATTGCAGGTTTGGGTATAGAATAGTAGGCAATATAAAATATAGACAAAGAAGAATATATTTTGTATTTGATGATGAATGCAACCTATTTTCACACTTATGTTTGATCATCTAAAAATGGCAGACATCTGTTTCAGCAAGACAGTGCAAGATCCAAATTTTCTTTCATTGTACATCTTTTTAACTAATGCAAATAACTTATCTTTGCAGCAGGCCTCTGGAAGATGGCGACATAATAAGTATTGATGTTTCAGTAAGTATTTTTGGTTTTATTTATTGCAGAGATGTAGTTTTGCAAATTTGGGATTCTCAGTCTCATGCGAAGAAAAATATCTCAAAATAATACCCTAATATGGACTCAATGGCAAAAAATATCTTTGAAGAAAGGCATTTTCTGGCATTTCTAAGGATATAGACCCCATTTTCCCTTGCTCTAGTCACCTTTTTCCCTTCTAATCTAACCACCCTTGCATGGCTACTGAATATTTCAAAAGCTAGCGATAACATACGAGAGTGCTAAGCTCTTTCTCTAATGGCATCCATGTTTTGAAGGTAATACCTTTCTTACCCTTGCTGCTCGACTATTTTTGGCATCATTTTTGGCATCAATTAGAGAGGCTCAGCCCTACTAAGTCCCCTTGGCTCTAAATCCTGTGCTTCTCATGATAACACATTTTTAAAATTCATTGCAGAGTTTTAAAGGAGGGTTTCATGGCGATACTTGTGACACAGTTATGGTTGGAAATGTTGATAACGAAGGCCAGCGACTTGTAGAAGTGACGAAAAAGTGCCTTGAGAGTGCAATTGAAGTCTGTGGTCCCGGTGTCAAGTTTAATAAAATTGGTAGAACTATTAGGTTAGTAATTTTGATCTGTTATCATGATGATAATTTTATTAGATTCATAATAAGCAAAGAAAATAAATATTTTCAGAAGTTCGAGATATAAATGTCGCTCCATGCAATGAAAAAGAATTTTGATAATACAACGTTCCTTGTTGATCAAGAGAATGCCAATCTGTTAAAAAAATTATAGAATACGAGCGTTGCTGGTACCGTGACCATTCAAAACTTGGGGAATTTGGTTTCTTGAAAAGCAAAATATAGGACGAAGATAAGGATGAAAATGATTTTGTCACTATCTTACCGTCAGGCGTCAGACATCAAAACTCTGTTCCAAACGAAATAAAGTACTCCCCAACTTTACAATACTCCATAAACGAAAATCTCAGAATTTTCATCGCTCCATTGTACTTGTAACCTTTGCAAGGTATGTAGAGACGTAACCAACTTTAAATGTAGAAAGCAAAGAAAAAAGCCATAAAACATAAAAAACATAAAAACTACTGGAAATTAAGGAATTTGACACCTTGCATGTCCTCTAAACCCCTGGCAGATAGGCCTCTAGACATAAGTGAACTAGGTTCAATTAGTATAGCCAAATAAAGAAAAAAACAAAGAGAGGTTACTGTGAATTATAAAAACAATAGCTTCATTATCTTTTTCCTAACCTTGTCGGTGTTTATACCATTTTTCAAAAGAGGCTATTCATAATACTCAAAAGCAAGCGAATTTCTTTCACGACTAGGCCTAATCAACTCGAGCAGTACAGTATTTGTTGGTGAAGAGCTTCGTAACCCAGAGGTTTATCAACAAACGTTGCCTCGTAATGTATGTAATGACTCAAATCATAACAGTATGAGCATATGAATGACTCCTTTTTTTGACAGCAAAGTTGTGAAGGGAACTGGTTTCAGTGTTTGTGATGTCTTCACCGGACATGGCATTGGTCGAGAATTTCATTGCCCGCCACAGATTATTCATACAGGTATCCGCTTTTTTAAAATTCTTAGTAATAATATTTATAAAACGATTATTAGTAATAATTGTATTTATAAGTAATTTATCCATCTAAAAAAATTTTTGAAAAAATTTATCGTTTAGACAGAAGGAGTTCTTTTTCACCCTTAGGACTCCGTTGGTAATATTTTCAATAGGCAAGTGGCACTGATTTGATAACTTTAATAGTCATGTGCTTGCATTTATGATTGGTATATGTAAATCCAAAACTGGGAATATAAATTTCCTACCTAAGAGTTTTTGAATAATGTTCTGACGTTTCATGCTTGGATGAGTGTCAGACAAACGAAAGCTTTAGTATGTTTCAAAATGTTTGCTTTTTTCAAAGGCATTTTCAATTTTTGTGCAACCAAAAAATTGTTATTTAAACGTGAGGATTCTATATTTGTCTTAAAAGTTTGTGACTTTATGATCCAAGAAGTTGCAATTATTTTGGTGATTACATTATCTTCAGGATTCATCTCTTACAATTGGTTTACCAAGGTGACTTTGCGAAGAAATATCCGTGATTTTGAACGTCCAGGGAATCATAACACTATAGTCTGCTTGTTTTTTGTTGTAGAGCTTTCTTGAAGGTCATACAAATCTAAAAAGCTGCTGGTGTCATATAAGACCTAGGCAGAGTCTTTTATCCTGAGTGAAGCCCCTCCCCTAATGGCTCATCCCTATGTTGTGTTGAATCGTTGTTTAAGCATTTATGGGGCTGCAGTCTGGTTTAGTTCATATTGATACTGTGCGCAGGAGCTTTTAAAAAACATGATCGGGCATGTCCTTCAGTTTGTGGCTTAGTATTGTCCCAAGCTGATCGATTTGGTACTGATCTCACTCTTATTTTGCAATTCATAAATTCTTGCGGGACAACCTCAATTGGATACCTAGTTAGATTTTCCTTGGTACAGATGAATTTAGCGTTATAGCTTTCTCATACTAAGTCAAATGTCTACTTGTTTATTGCGTTATAAAACCGACAAAGGGCTCGATTTTGTGTAACTTTTTCTTGTAAACTAATATATCTACTAAACAAACGTAATTTCTTATCTAAGCTTTCTTACTGTTTACTTCAAGTACGACCAGGTACTAACAACTTGTAATTCGCTCATTCAATCGGTCCTTTGATTTGAATACCGTCATCTCGTTCTTTGATGTTTGTTTCGAACACACACAGATTCAATAGCAGTAAAACTCCTATCGACACTCTCTTGAATGGGAAATCTTCAAGAGAAACAAAATTCTTTCATGCAGAAAAGAGTCATATACCAGCAGCCTCCCGAAAACGAATCACTCCCACTTTAATGGAAAGAAAATCTCTGCTCTTGGAAATTTCAGTGTACTCTTCTTGTCACTTTCTACCCGTTGTTGATAGTACCAGTTTTGTAGCCATTGATATAATCAAGTGGCCTCGAAGATACTGATTTCTTACACTTTGATTCTCATCCACATGTTCACTCCTGTTAGCTTATCTAAAACACATCATAGCTACTCTTTTAATATTACAATTTACCTTGTTTTGATAGCTTATGATGGCCTGCCTATAAAAAGGTCTAGAAACTCATTTTGTAACTTAAAGAATCTAGTCTTTCATGTTGGTTGAGAATTATCGGTCTCTTAATATCTATATTATTTCGTTTCTTTGGTAAACGGTATATAGTGTTATAATAGACAAATATAATAGAAAGGAAAGATTTTTTGATTAAGACAACATCATTAATTACAATTTTTCGATTGAAATTTGAAGACATTGCCATCTAAAAATGTGATGCGAGTGCAACTAGAAACGTCTCGATTCACGACTAATATGATAATCTATGGTCTGCAAAGATCGTTTTACTTAGATTGACTTTTAAGTTTTTTCCAAGTCTGTTATATTCTTCGTTCTAAAAAGTAGGTTGCTGAAAAATGATAGATTTAACCCCTTCGACAATTTTTTCAGATTTTCAAACTCAAAGTTTAGGAACCATCTTGTTTGGGGGCTTAGGCTGAAGCTACGGTTGTTGTTGCCAATATCTTGTTTGTAATTAAAAAGGTCACAAAACTATTCCGTGAGTTTCAACATTTAATAATGTCTTGCATCAGTCTATGTAACTCGTGCATTTTTACTTCAGTTGATTTTCTGTCAGATTTAGTGTATTATGATTTGATATCAATTATGGTAACTTTTCTCTGTTGCATATTCTAAACCGTTTCTTTTTGTTACAGCAAATCCATATCCTGGCAAAATGTGGCCAGGGATGACATTTACAATCGGTATGTTGGCTACTGATAATAATAGTTTTTCTGATCTTTTGTTCTTATAAGATAAAAACTGTCCCCTATCTTTCTTTTTCTCGTCAAATTATGCATTTTGTCTTAGATCAAGATACAACAACACGCTAGTCTCTGTATCAAGTCACCTTTGGCCATGTCTGAAACCAATCCAATCAAGTGCATGCTTGTTTTTTCTATGTGACTACGTACCTTATTTCCGCCTATTGGGAGTGTAAGTGCAACGTTCCCTTCGCATTTATCAAAGTTAGTTGATCTAGCAAAACAAAAAAGACTGAAAGTGTTTGATGTTGTTTCTAAGAAATTCAGGTTTATCAAGGATTTCGTCGATGTATTTTTTCAACTAAACTTTTGTGACCCTATTATAACATCTAAGAAATTAAATTTCTCAGATATTCAGGGACTGAGAAGAAGATACTTCCAATTTAGAAATTTTTCTTTCAAAACAGAGTTTGATTACTGAATTTTTTCCGAATGCTCGTTAACTTTGAGTTTTTTGCTCATTTATGTATCTTATATCTATCCTTTCCAATATTACATAATGTACTACCCTGGGTACCAGAGCCGCAAAAATTTAACTGCAGCAATTTTTGTAGTTGATAAACTTGTTTTAAATCATAATAAATGTTGTTAGGCCCTATTCTAACCGTGCAATATTTCTCGATATCGAAATCCTGAGCTCTTTATTATAAAGCTCTTTATTATTAACAGAGTTCCTTCTTCTGCCGTAAAAATCTTGAAACGTCAGTCATACGTCAAACCACAATTACCTTTAGCATGTTTAGGCTTGTTGAAAATCTTTTACGTACATTTCTAGGTCAGAAAAAGAGGTGACATGGACCTTATAATGAATTGTTGGACTTGTTTCAAGATTATAGATACATATAATTAATTTAATTTGTTCATTTGATGTTCCAGAACCAATCATTTGCGAAGGCTCTCCGAATATAGAAATTTGGGACGACGGCTGGACAGCTGTCACTGTTGACAATAAAAGGTACGCTACTCTTGGCCAGGTTTTTTATCTTCCACTAGTTTTTTCCAGTTATGTAGCTATGAGTGTTAATAATGTGGTAAATATTATAGGCTGATGTGTTTTCAGGGCAGACACTTTTATATGTCAACTCACGGACTCACAGAAATACGATGTTGTACTTGCGGTCTCAATATTCTGTTCAGTGCACATGGCAAGTGCGTCTTAATGGCCGCCTCGATTTCATTCCTATAAGAACCACACAATCTCTGGCTTCTAGTTTTTTCCTTATTTTAAGAGATACCCAAAGGCTCTTTGTGAAAAATTATAGGAAATTTAAACTGTGAAAAATAATTAGAAGTAGGATCTCTTTTTCGATTTTGTAAGTATTAAGAAAGTAGCATCGAAAGTATTAATGTTTTCAATGACTAAATTTTGACACTTCACCGGCTATTGCCTGCAGTTGCGTCACAAGTGCTTTTCCATCGCGATGGTGTTAATTATTTGATCTTTGGTCGATCATCATATCCTATGCCAAATAGGGAGGTAAATGCACTACTTATATTCAATTGCCGTTAAATTTAGTCGGCCTTTTTGTGCTGGGCTTAGTTTTTACTTGTATTTTGCGGCCTTCTGTGTATATTTTGGCATACGTTTTATGATTGCACCTGTTAGACTCCCTTCCATGTTGTTTTTGAGTTTTATTTTCCTAATGATACAACGTACCTTGGTGCACTTCCGGATCAAAGAGTTTCATTGCTTTTTGATTAACCCTATCATAATTTTTTACGTTCCAACATCGGCCGAAATTTCGGGCGAGGCATGATCATCCTTCATTAGACAAGACTTGATACTTTGCTTATCATTCTTGTTATTTCGAAAAAATACCGCAGTTCTTGCTTTGCGATTGTTGTTTAACGAATTTCATGATCATAGCGTCTTAAGAAATTTCTTTCTACACAACCAGCTTTTCCGCTTTTGTTGTCAGGATAAGGCTGCCTGTGCAGATAGGGTTTAACCAAGCAATTTAAAGCTTTTCGCCTACCAACCTTATCAAAGTGTTGTTGGGATTTGAGTCTCATCTCTTACTTCAAACCACTGCAAATAATGCACCAGACTAAGTATACTCTCATCAAATGGCAGTTTAGAAATTCTAGAAGGGAAATCTTATTAGTAAAAGAAACACATTTCATTTAGAAAAGGGACTCGCAAAGATTCAAATCTCCTATCGTTTTAGCTTGCCTTGCAATCTCGTTGCCTCAATTAGCATCTTTTTCTTCAACCTCTGCGCTAGTACAAGGCTTTGTCGAACTTCACTTCATTCAACAAGCCTGAACGTGACCTAGCTTTTAATATCAGATAAACATATTCCCAATTATCAGAAAGCATTTTCATCCTGCACCACAAATAAAGCATCTTAACTCTGTATTCAATGTATAGATTTTATCACAAGTATCTTTGTGTTGCTACAAAATTTGGTTTTGTTGATAATAACAACTCCACGCCTGTATTAGCAGTTGCTTACCCAACTCAATAATACGGGTTCGTTTTTCCATTAGTGCTCAGATGCAGGCTATGCTGGTTTTTGTTTAGATTACTGTTTCTGTGAATTCCTATGAATGGACCTGACAATCAAGTTTTAGCCCACTTTTACTTGTTTTCAACGCATTGTAAACTCATCATACAATTGAATTTTGGGATCACATGATGAAGCAAAGGCAGAAGATGCACACGTTTCCATGTTTACACATGATCAAGATATCTGGTTTTTGAAACGAAGATTCGCCAAGAAATATGGCACTCTTCTCCTAATTGATACAAAATTCTTGCAATAATTCCTCCAGCTCACATTGATTGGTTCTTAAACAATGTAATGGTACTCTGAAAACCGTAGCTTTAGTGTGATGGTACAGGCACATGCTTAGGTTCTTAGTAAACCATCCAATTCAATTAAAGAAATGACAGTCACGACAGGGGGCAAAGAGAGTGTATCAGACCTTTTTGTGGCTTTGTTTATGTCTGATTTCTTAACCAACATGTTATCTGTCATGCTCTTGTGAATTGTACCTTTCTTCTTGCCTAAAAATTATTTATGCTGCACTTTATCTTATAACTGCATTGAAACAAATAATTCTAGCATTTAAACCCATCATACTAGAAGATTAATTTCTAATTGGACTTCTGACAGTCTTAGCCACATCTGTTAAGATATAATACGAAAATTTTTCTTAGTAACATCCCTTCCCCTCATTTAGGGTTTGAGGCTTGCAAATATCAATATTTTGATCATCATAACGAGATATCAAGGATTGTGGCTATTTTCATGATTTATTTTTTTCCTTTGCATTTCCCAATGCTAACGAACCTCGCCTTGTACTTCGTTTTTCAACAAAGGCCTCAAAAATTATCATAGCTGCCATGTACAATCATTCTGCTATTACAGGTCATTTGTTACCCCCCCCCCCTCGCAGCCCATCACCCCAAGACTACATAAAGAATCATAAGATTTAAAACCTTTCTTTTATCAACTGTGTTTTATAGTTATGTCAAGACGATCTTCTTTTGCTTAAGATCTTTCAACTTAATTTCAATTGTTTGCTGAGTGTTTTTCAGGTACCTACTGTTCTTTCAAGCCATGCGAGTACTTAGGTGAACGTTAGCTATTAAAAAAGAGAAACCCAAATTAGATATATAAGTTGCGCGTGGTACTTTATCCAAATAACGATAATGTAATGAGCGAATGAATTAAGTACCAAAATGAATAAAGTTAATTTTGATTCACAGCTAAATTTATTTCATATTGTTACCTAATTTATTCGCTCATTGTACTATCATTATCAAAAAAGGAAACCAACCGATCCAACCACTTTTTATCAACCAATCATGCGCCTTGTATGGTTGGATACCTTATTTGTGTACTGGTACATTGGATACCTTGGATACCTTATTCGTATATTCGTATATTGATAAGCGATCAAACCAACCACTTCAAATCAACCAATCATGCGCCTTGTATGGTTGGATACCTTATTTGTGTACTGGTACATTGGATACCTTATTCGTATATTCTTACACTGATATTTGCTCTCTTTGGCCGACATTTTATGCTATTTTTTAAAGTTTTTGTTACCTTTTTGTTACCTTAAATCTTTTTGTTACCTACTGCTATTGCAGTCTCTATTCAAGTGATGTCAAAACATTGTATCATTCTTTCGTGACGGCGCCATAGCGAGGGCTGGTTTTGCCTTTCTATATCACATAGCTTGGTCACTACTTTGTATGCTGGGTACATATTGTGCAATTTTTGACCTTTGTACGCTTGTTTACGTGCTCCTTCAATGCATCCCACTAACTTAATTAGGATTTCGCCATTTGCCTGATATTTTTGGTTTACGCAACATGTTTGTCCCATTAATCCCTGTTTAGTAAATCTAACCCCGTGGGACTTGATTAAATTTGTCTCCATCGAGCTGCATTAACTCTTCACGAGAGCACTTGATCTTACCTTTAAGATATTTTTTTCAGAATCGTCATTATACCATGTTCTTTTGTTCCTTAGCAGCGGGTTTTCACTAGAATTCTAGAATTCCAGTTAAAGCTTTCATCCTATTTGGACTATTTTTGAATAGGACAGGGGAAGTTTTGCCAAATTCCTGGTATTGCAGTCATTTTTGATCACGTTTTTCTGGTAGCTAGATGCAGGTAACAATAGCATCTTAGGGTTTCTTTGTTTAGGGCTGGGGGTAAACAAGTAAGTTTTTTCTGTCTTTATCCTCCAAAAAAGTCTATAAAATGTGATGGAAATGAATAGACAATTCCAGAAAAGTTGATCAATTGACCAATTGAGACAAATAAAGACGACGGTTCTTGTTTTATGGGGAATGACTGCAAAACTTTGTGACTTGTGACAAACAAAAAGGAAGCCTTAACCCCAGACTCCTTAGTTGTCTGCGTGTAAATCACAATTTAGTGGTCTGCGTGTAATCACTTCTGCTTCACATTTCATCTATAAGTGATGCCAAAAAATTTCAGCATAACGCAATTGATACATTGCTTAAACTCAATGATGTACGATGGTGTTGTATCAAAATTCATAATTAACCTAGCACGGTTTCATAATGCCACCTAAACCAAAGTTAATTTGATGAAATTGTCGTGGCTCTTAGCTTGGGGTCTTCGTTAAGACTTATTAGTTCTTAACACTAGTTAGAAATGGTAATTAGTTTAGAATTTTTTATAACATGTTTTTAAACCAAAATTATTGTTATCTTATATCGATATAGATCATGTTCATAAGAACAAAATCGTTGTAATCACCTCTTAATAAAACAATGAGAGGGCACCCAGGCTCACATATGCACACTGATCAGCAGATTGTGGACGATGGTCGCCAACATGATGTACACATATATGCATACAGTACAATCGTAGAGTACAATGCAATCCACGTATGCAAAGTAACACCCTCGCACGTAATTGATATATGGTACTTTTGCACGCAAAAAACCTACAAAACCACCATTATAGTACACATTTGTACAGGTACATAGCACAAGTTCCCCTATTGCGTCACCTTATGTTGATCCTAATGGAAAGTTTCACACAATCACATGAAGGGCCTCAGATAGAATTTCGCCAAACTGAAGACTTTTTTACAAAATTTGTTGATATGGGTCTTAAACTTGCCCTTGCCATCCCCCCCCCCACCCAGCGGAGCTCTTTATAGAATTGCTATAATGGGACACGGCTGTGAAAATAAGACGATATTGAAAATCAGATTGAGCATTTTTTATACTGTTCATCATAGTTATACAATACAGTATCAATAGCGAACTTAATGCAGGATCAAAGTGTTCTTTAGTTAGATGGGGACGCACCGTGAACTTAAGGGCAGTAGGAAAGAAAAAACCAATGGTCTTCTTTTTTGGGGACCAATAGTCTTCTTTTTTTTTAAATTATAAAAAAGCCATTGAGAAAAATGGATAAAATTTCTAGATTTCTAGATGGGTGTAATTTGCATATAG